CTAGCCAAGCATTCGATTTGGTGAACCACTATAAATCTCATGTGTATCAAGTTCTATTGATGGATGTTGTCTCTGTGATTGACTATTTACCACTACGAGCTTATTAGCTCTTTTACGGGCCCGACCAATAGGTTTCAATGGAATCCTATTAAAAAAGTTTAGTCTTACTTTTCGAAAAAGTTAAATCAATAGTAATATGCCATTTGAACCGGTAAATAACATTCAAATCTCAAGAATTTAATGGTGAATAATTGAAAAGTTCTTGAAATATAATCAAGTTTGGTTGTGACCACCTTATAATGCCTCATATGAATTTGATCCCACTTAATTTCAAATTTTTTCAATTTTGATCAAATTCAATCATTAGTTAATTCATGGAGTTTCACTATATGGCGATACGAACCATAAAAATAAAATAAGACAGAGAAAATTTAGGGATAGATAATTGAAAAGTCCATGGAATGTAATCAACTTGGGGATAGTGATCACCTTATAATAGCTATTTTCATTTTGCAATTTTTCTGTGACCACATGCACTACAATGAAAAAGAGTTTTACGCACAAATTTTTTACCTAGGAAAACAATTTCGTGGGTAAAGCACTACTTTTTCCTACGTATTTTTCATAGTTGAAAGTCAATTTCATAAATTAAGAATTTTTATTGCCAATAATTAGGTGTAGTTCAAAAACACACGAGGCCTAAAATGATAAATATCAAATAGATTTTTTTATTTTGATTTATAATTTTAATTCATATTTATTTATTGAAAATTAGAGTTGGATGAATTTTTTGATTTTTTTTTAATAATTTTTTATAGCATGTTACATATTGAATTTATTGATGGTTTAGTAAAAAGTAAATAATATAAAATATATAAAGCTTTTGCCTAGGAAAATCTCCTCGGGCAAAGGTCTATTATACACATGGCTTTCACCTAGAAAAATTTTCTCGGCAAAGATCTACTTTTTGCGTAGGAAAATTTTCCTCGGCAAAGATCACATTTCCGTTGGGTTCGTTTGTTAAGTAAGATAATGCTAAAAAATATAAGAAAAAAGAAATTTTAAAATTTTACCTGTGTTTGTTTAGCATAAAATAAAAAATGATAAAAAAATAATTTTTTTCCATACTTGAGTTTTCTCACATTTAACTAACTTTTTTTTCTTGCAAAAAACACAAGAAAAAACAGAAAAGTTGTGTTCAATAACCAAACTTTCTATTTTACCTTTATTTTTCTTAAAATACTCAATTAATTATTAATTTTAAAAAAATTTGTACAAATTAGACTAACTGTATAAGTTTGTTTAGAAATTACGGTTCAAATCGATTCTTGTCTCTGAATTAGGTTAGGAACCAATTGTTTTAAAATTTGAATAATAAAAAATATTTTTGTCTTCTTTAGACCTTGTTAAAATAATTAATAATAATTTATACAATTAAAAAAAAAATCTTATAACTTTCCCTTTTTTTTTTAAAGAATGGAATAAAATTGTTTTAAAATTTTCTTAGAATTTTTTCATACTAATCAAATGCATACATGAAAATATATTTTCTTTCACTTTATTTTCTATCTCTTTCACTTTCTATCATCTTTTTTTTTATAACCAACCCCTAGGAAAAAATTTCTAGATAAAAGTTAATTTTGGCCTACATTACACATAGCTTTTACCTAGGAAAATTTTCCTCGGCAAAGGTGTGCTAATACACATAGCTTTCACCTAGGAAAATTTTCTCGGCAAATGTCTACTTTTTACCTAAGAAAATTTTCCTCCACAAAGATCGCATTTTACCAAGGGTCTATTTGGTTAGTAAGAAAAAAATGTTGGAAAGTGAAAGAAAAAAAAGTGAAAAAAATATATTTTCATGCATGTATTTAGTTAGTATAAAAAACTTCTAAGAAAATTTTAAAACAATCTCATTCCATTGTTTTAAAAAAAAGAAAGTTAAAAGAATTTTTTTTTTATTGTCTAAATTATCCTTAAGTATTTTAACTCAGTCTAAAGAAGAAAAACATATTTTTTATTATACAAATTTTAAAAAAATGGGCTCTTAACTTAATTCAGGAATAAAAATCGATTTGAATCTTAATCTCTAAACCAAATTATATAATTAGCCTAATTTGTACACTTTTTTTTTAAATTAATAACTAATTGAATATTTTAAGAAAAATAAGGATAAAATGAGAAGTTAAATTATTAAATACAATTTTTTTGCTTTTTCTTGTGTTTTTTGCAAGAAAAAAAAAATTAGATAGAAGTGAGAAAATCTAAACATAAGAAAAAATTATTTTTTTATCATTTTCTATTTCATGTTAAACAAACGCATGTAAAATTTTAAAATTTTCTCTTTCTTATATTTTCTAACATTTTCTTGCTAAACAAACGAATCCAAAGAAAAAGTTCCTCAGAAAAGGTCTAGTTTTGCCTAAGAGTCCGTTTGATTAGGAAGAAAAAAATGATGGAAAGTAAAAACGGTAGAAAGTGAAGTGAATGAAAAAAAAATGATAAATTTTTTTTTATACATGTATTTTGGTTAAAATGAAAAATTTTAAAAAAAATTTTAAAAAAAATTCTTTCCAAGAAAATCCCCCTCGGCAAAAGTCTACTTTTGCCTAGGAAACAATTTATCGGCAAAAAAATTGACTATACCCCTCCCTCACACACAATATATATATATGTATGAATACGTATACAAATTTGTATATATACATATAAATAAATATACATATATTTATTTATATATACACACACAATATATATATAAATAAATATATATATATATATATGTATATATTGTTCTCCATGTTTCCAAAATTTTTAAAGAAAACACTAAAAACAAGTTACATTTGTTTTTAATTTTTTTGACTCAAATTTTATTTTTTTTTTTAAATTTAGAGAATAAAAATGTTAAACAAACAGGGTTTTGGTGTTTTTGAAATTTTGATAACAAAAAACTGTTTCCGATATGATAATCAAACATGACCTTAATATTTAAAGATACAAGCTAGAAAACTTAAAAATTTTCAGAGTAGAAAGTGAAATTCTCCCGAAAAATAAATTTCTAACTCCCTTATTAACTGAAACATTATTCTTTTCATACTCACATCCACCCATTCATCAAAGTTCAAACCACCGCCCACTACAGAAGAAATTATTTGTATGGGCATAAGTAGCACCTTACGCATCTTCCAACAACCTAACTATCATTGTTTTTTGTACTTTCCCAACAACCAAATGCATTAGTTTAGATCCAACACTTTATTTAAAATTGAGTTTATAGCCGATACCTTACAAAAATTACAAACAAAATTAAAAAATGACAGATTCAGATCCCTTCTAATACATTTTTTTTCAATTTCTTTTTTGACACATATTTCATCATTAATCGAGTGTAAGATCTACTTGAATGTATTGCAGATAATGTACCGAAAATAAATTTAAAAAAAATGTATTGAAACTAATCTCCCACTCAAAATAACATAGCAGAGTCGCAGACAGATTATCAGTTCATGGACGATTCTCCCGTAGATTGCGCTGGCGAACACTGGGTCCTACACCCAGTAAACGCTACGTACCCAATCAATTGGGCCCACGCGGTGGAGTACACCAACGCGTTGTGTATGATGTTTCATCTGGAGCCCACCTCCCATGTGTTAACAAGTGCTCCTTCTGGTTGCAACCACCTGTAATTAATGGATAAAGATTCGATTTTTATCGCATTTTTTAAATATACATTTATGTGCCATAAAAAAAAAATCAGTACATGAGAGTATTTTTTTTTATTTTTTTGTGTTCAACAGTTTGAAATGTGTTGTCAACGGTCAACTCTTGACTGTATTCCTAGAATACCCAAGTCATACGCACCCAATTAGCTGTTAATTCCTCTCAGCTTTAAATTTCAATTTCTTCTTGTTCTTTTTTTCGATGTTTTAAAATTTAAAAAATATATATATATATATATATATATATATATATATATATATATAAACATCTATTATTAGATTAAAAATGAGTTTCATCTAATATTAGAATTTTTAATTAATCTAACGACTGTATTGAATTAATAAAAAAAATTAAAAACACGCAAATGCTAGTAATAAGCATATAAATATCCATCCCATTTTCCCTTATTTTCACCATTGTACAATCCATTTTGAACCTAGAAAAAAACATAGTTTTGGGTAACCCAGTTTTAAATTATTAGTCTTAAGTCAAAAGGCAATAAATATATAGCAGTATTTTTTAGAGTAATGCATAACTAAAAGGGTGCATTCTAGAAGACCCGCGAGACCGAGAATAATTATGATAGTAATACCTGAACTTTTTTCACATAAAAAAGTCGTATCAAGTGTACGAAGAGGTGTGAGAGCAAGCGAAGCGGTAGACAGTCTTACTCCCCGCCTTGGAGAGGCTTATTCCCAATAAGCTTTTCTAACAAGACCTATTCCATGTAAGAAAGGTGATCAAATATTGATAACCAAAAATATAAAGTGTTCCCAACCAGATCTATTAGATTAGACTAACTAATTGCCAAACAAAACTTCTAATTCCATCCTTTCTGTCAAAAATTGATGTGTATGTTTAGAAGTAAGAGTTATCTATTTATGTAACCCTTGAACTACGTTTTGTATCAATTTAGTCCATAAATTATTAAATTTGTGTTAATATAACCTTTCTGTCCAAATTCGTTGTTAAGTTTGACAGAATTCCTAACAAACACAACACATAACTCCCTAAATTATACTCTAATCTCTGACTCATGTGATGAGCACGTGAGAAATTTCATCAAATTTAACCTTGGATTTGGACAGAAGAGCCACATTTACACAAATGATATAGTTCTAAGAGTTAAATTGACATAAATCATAATTCGGAGGCTTGATTGACATCAATAATATATTTGACAAGGAAAAGTCCTCTCAACCAAATAAATCTTAATAAATGAGGCAATTCTGCAAGGCCAGGTCAAAGAAACCAACTTTGTACAAGTCAATATCCCAAACTACATCCAAATGTGAGGTACCCAGTTGCTGCTGAAATTTAACCGAAAGTTACAGCACAAAAACCAGTCACTTTAGCCCAAAACCAAGCTTTGGAATCTTCAGTTTTCCTATTCATCAGTTTAACTTTCCTTGCAAACAACTAAAACTCCAAAAAAAAAAAAAACTAGAATTCTTCCAAATCATTCAAAACAACCACATTTAATTCATATCTTCCTTGATTTTTCAAATCTGAATTTGTTCATTCAAGTTTTTTCAGGGAAGTGACCCAAAAAAAAAAAAAGAAAACTCACAAACTAGCTTGAAGTTCTTGCAGAGTCTGATACTCATCTGCAATCTATGAACGGGTCAATGGCAGTTAAATCATCTTCTTCTCAGAATCTGGATAGCAGAAACAAAGGAGGGGCAGAACCAAAGAAGAAACTGAAGAAGCTTACATCAATCAAGCTGTCCAAAGTCCCCAGCTTAAAGCCACCCAGAAGGCGAGGAAAGTCCCGGTTCGATTCCCTTCCGATCATGATGTCCGGTGAGGATCAAAGCCTGCAAGAGCCAAGTGTCATTGATTATTCTGATGCAAAAAAGAAAAATTCTCGGGTAAGACCTCTTCATTCGTAAATTCAGTTTTGCTGGAAAATTAGCAATGACCCGTGTAGAAAAACATCAAAAAACAAGAAAACCAGAACTTACGAAGAATATTTTGTCTGAAATCTTCGATGTTCTCAATGAAAAAAAATAAGTCTCTAGAATTTTCATCTTACTACACTTTAGTATTGAAGATGCTAACAATAATCTAATCTCAAGAATTATGATTTTCATGACTTTTAATATGGCTCATCAGGGACGAAGTGAATCAGATGAAAATTCTGTCAGTTCATCCAGTTATGGATCAACAGAAAGCACACCATCTTCTAATGGAAGGAATTATTTGAAGCCAACGAGCTGTTCGGGTGGGAGGAAATATTTTCAGGCAAGTCCTCATAATTCTGAATCTAATTTTGACAGCTGTGATCAAAGTAAGACTAGTTCTGTGCAAACTTTAAAAAAGACATCTGGTCTGAGAAATGGTAAAACTTTGAAAAAGAAGACTAGTTTCAAATCGAAGAGGCTTTCGATAAATAAATTCTCCCAAGTTTCTCAAGACCCGAACGTGGATAGAGCTACTTGTTCTTCCACCCTCAAAGTTTTAAAGATTCCTGAACCTGTTGATCTTTTTCCTGGAGAAAGTGATTCTGAAAGAATTTCAGTCATGAAAATTTGCTCATACCACCACTGCTCTCTTCATGGACATTGCCACTCCTTTGAGCCCCTACCAAAGGCCTGCGTATCCGAAAGGAGGAGTTCATTGAAGACACCGAAGATTATGAATTCAAAAAATCAGTGGGTGGTGGCAACAAAACATTCCGGTGATAAAAAGAAAGAAATTCAAACAAGCCAAAGGGTCTTTAGTGTAGAACCTGCCGTTGGAGAGGGATCAAGTCCAAGAACAGCTTTCTCTCCTGCAGAAATTAACAAATGCAGGGATTTTTGTGCAGAGAAGGTTGGGGAAGTTGCTGAATCCGACGTAGGTAATGAGGATAACAATGACAGATTGATTGGTGAAACTGCAGCTTTTCCCCATTTCTGTACACCGGCATTGTCCTTGAAGCCAGATGACCCACTCCACCCCTCTGATGAGGAAATTCCAAATGTGAACTCAGGATTGTGCAAAGATGAACCATCCAATATAGAGAAAAGATCAATTCCAGATGTCTTTGGGCAAGCAACGGAAGATAATGAGGGACTCAGCGCAGTAAGGGAAAAAACGAATGGAAATTCTAATCAAAAGGAAGGATCAATCGAACTGTTTACCCCAGTTAGAAGTTCTGAAGCCAATGCCACCGTTCGTGAAGCATCCAAAAAACAATTCCGCAAAGAAAAGAATTTCAGCATGTGGCACCTGATACATCAGCATATGGTATCAGATCTCTCTGTAGAAGCAGGTGCACAGTCACCTCAAGGGGCAGACAAGAAAGAGCAAGTGGACGATGCCAATTCATCACCCGCACAAACTCCCTGCTTGTCTCCAGGTTTCTCCCATTCAGATATGGGTATGGAGAAAACAGATAGGGCCAATCAAGAGATTGAAATCCGCAAGATGTTTGCCATCAAGCTGGTACGAGAAGCAATTGAGAAAATTCTTCTTCCCGAAGTTCAAGACCAGTCGTCTGATGATCAATCCACTACAAGCGATGCTGTGTCAGAGCATGACTCCTTAGAAAACAATCAAGGTGAAGGTGAGGAAACAATACACCTATCCCTTTCTCTTCCTCCCTCACTCTCCTTTCTGTGGTTTGTAGGTTGAACTAATCATCTCAACTTTCACAGGTTCCACCAAAGAAAGCTTCAGAGAGAATGAAATTGACAACAATGAAGTGGAAGGTGATATATCAGCTGATCCAAAAGAGGAAAGTCTCACAGCTGATAATATCAGGAGCCAAGATGAACAGAAACAAGCAACAAAAGTGGGTAATAAATCAGACAAGCAAACACCGAAGAGCTGGAGTAACCTTAAGAAATGGATCCTCCTGAAGAGATTCGTCAAGGAATTGGAGAAAGTGAAGAAATTCAACCCAAGAAAGCCACGACATCTGCCCTTGGATCCTGACGCAGAAGCAGAAGAAATTCGTCTAAGCCATCAAACAACAGAGGACAGGAAAAATGCGGAGCAGTGGATGCTTGATTATGCACTTCGACAGGCAATTAATCAACTTGCTCCTACTCAGAAAAGAAAGGTGGCGCTGCTAGTAAGAGCTTTTGAAACAGTAGTTCCACCCCAGGAAGAGCAGCATATTCAGATCACAATTCCTAAGCTTAAAAGCAATAGTCAAGACAGTTGTTGCACTCAAAGAGGAATGGATGAACCCGTTTCTGAAGCAACTGGTGCAGACCAGAAGGCTGAGGAAATGGTTGCATCCAATCCTGGTGACAAGCTCTGCTTGAAGCCAAATGAACTCGTCAACTACTTCTCTAAGGAAGTACCTGCAGATGAAAATGCTAGGCAAGAAGTCCGTGAAGATAAAAGTTCAAGTCTGCTCTCTGAACTCCTCAACAAGAATTCTGAATCAAGTGGGAAAAATGAGAAGCTGGATGGTTTAAGAGGTGAAAATCCTAAACCATCTGAAACTAATGAAAAACTCATCGCAGCTGCAAGCATTGTTTCTTCAGCTTCAAATTGTGACACACTGGATCAACCAACAGCAGCCAGGGAAGAGAAGAACAGAGAAGCTGAACCAGAACATGTATTCCTTCAAGAGTTCTCTGAAAAAACAATTTCTAGTCCAGAATCTGAACTTCTTAACGGTTGTTCTGAACCAAGTGAGAAATATGTGGCGCTTGATGGTTTAGGTGCTGTAACCAGTAAGCCATCTTATATAACTAAAATCTCAACCCCAGACGCCGTTGGAGATTCAACAATAAATGAGAGCACTGTTTCTTCATATTTAGAAAGGGATACAAAGGAGCAACAATCTACAGCCAGGGAAGAGAACAGAGAATCTGAGCAAAAACATTTTGTTCAAAAGTCTCGTCCTCTGATAGGTTCTCAAGCTGATTCCGCAACACAGTCCGACAAACAGAACCATATTAGAATGTGGCATATGATATACCAGCATGTGGTGTCAGGTATTGCTGAAAAAGTTGGAACTCAGCTACTTCTCGACGGATCAGATGAAGAGGTAGAAGATTCCAACACATCACCTGTGATACAAAATTCTGGGTCTAGTCATGATTTCTCTACAATAGATCATGACACAGGCAAGGAAAATCTTGATGCAAACCATCAAAGGATTGAATTCAGCCGGAGTGATGCTGTCAAACTCGTACAAGAAGCAGTTGATGAAATCCTTCTTCCAGATACTGAAGATGATTCATCTGATGCTCAATCAACTGCAAGTGACATAATTCCTGAACAGGAGCTCTTAGAAAATAACCGTGGTGATGGTGGGGTACAAAACTTCACAACATCCACCTGTTGTCCCAACTGTGGTTACAGGAAAAATGACATGGTAGCAGTGCAAGGTGGAGTCTTAATAGATCAAGAAGAAAAAAGGCCCCCACCTAATGAAGAACTGAAAGCGGTGCCAATGGTCAAAAACAAACCACATCAGCAGAAGTCCAAGAACTGGAGCAAGCTGAAAAAGTTAATCCTCCTCAAGCGATCCATCAAGGCATTGGAAACAGTTCGAAAATCGAACTCAAAGCCACCACAACTTCTGCCTTTGACATCTGCCTCAGAAGAAGAAGAAAAAGTTGACTTGAGGCATCAAATGGTGGATGAGAGGAAAAAGGCAGAGCAATGGATGCTCGATTATGCTGTTCAGCATATTGTCACTAAACTCACTCCAGCTCGGAAAAGAAGAGTAGCAATGCTTGTGGAAGCTTTTGAAGCCGTTGTTCCGCTGCCTGAAGTTTAAAATCAAGAGAGGTGCAATGAAGCTTAAACTCAAGCATTACCTGTTCCAGATTGGCTGATACCATTAGCAAAGGTAAGCACAATGAACAGAATTTTACGTATCTAGTTATTTATTTTAGGCCAAGGCAAGCAGAGGAAATTTCCTACAGAAAAATGACAGTCTTTGTGGAACAAGTATATTATGGCTCATGTTATCATTATAAAGGTAGCTATGTAGCAATTTGATGCAAATCATAGCAATCCAGATTATAATGTTTCACATGTTAAATATAGTTGTCAAAACAGTTCAAAGTTTGTGCAATTATAAATTTTGTAAGACTATGGCATAGGGGTGTTTTCAGATGTTTTTCTACTATAGAGGGCAGTGTGTAGCTACTTCAAGATGACAATATTATCTATTATACACGAGTGTTGATAATGCGTGTACTTTAGAAGTTGATGAAATTTATTGTAATTGGTCTTTTGAGAAAATAAATGCTGAAGTATTATCAAAATCTTCATGATCTTTTGTCCTATGTTGATGAGAATTAGCATTAAGACCACAGAGGTAGTCGTGTACCCTGACAATAATACATATGTACAAACTATAAACACATCAACTGTAAGTAGTTCATGCACAGATGCTAACTAAGGTACTCTGAAATAGCAGCAATGAAGGTGAAAGGCCATTTAATCCTTAATGTTTTAATTTTGTCAATTTAATCCTCAAAATTTATACATATGACTAATGTAGTCCTTGGTACTAACCAATAACTATGTGTCATGTGTGAGGCGCATGGGAGTGTTGATGGGTATTTTTGGTATTTTATAGCAATTCTATATCCAAACAGCATTATCCCTTATCCAAACAATATTAAACATGAATCCAAACACATATCTTCTCTTTCTTTCTTTTTTTCCTTCTTTTTTTCTCTCCCACAAAAACATTCTGCATCGCTCTCTGTCTACAATTAGCTCTCTCTCCCTCTCACGCAAGTACACAACAAATAATCACACATACTAGACACATTCCAGCGGCAATCAAGCTTCAGTTCATGGCGCCCACCTGAAAATTGCTCACCAGTGAAATTTGGTATCGCGCTTCAAAGTTGATTTGGTGAAGAATTAGGGTTTGAATCGATGACGAATCGGGTGTGAATTGCTTGTTGCTGAATTGAATTCTGTTTCTCTCCCTCCTGAATTGTGTCTGTCTTGTTTTCTAAAATTTCGTTGGGGACATGAGAATTGATGGGTCTAGTATAGTGGTAGTGGTGGAGGGGAGCGAGGCGTGTGATGGTGAAGGTGGGTTTACTGGGTTGGCTTGTGAGTGCAGGTGGAGGTGGAGTAGTAGATGAATGGGGTATGGGCCATGGAAGGGTTGATGAAAGAGGTGGCAGCCATGAGGAGAGTCGCAGTGGCAGTTAGTGTTAGGGTTAGGGTGGAATGGAAGCTCAGATGGGAGAAGGAATGGCATCGCCGGAATTGGGGAATTACCGGCAGTGTGGGAAGCGGGAGCGCAGCGAGTTATGGTGGGTTTTTTGTCCCTTAGATTATTTTGAGTTCCATTTATAGTTTGAAAGTACTCAACAACAGAACTCCTAAAAATGCTCTTATACAGAAAAGAATACAAAATATGAATCGTGGGAATCAGTGACCTCCTGGAGATAAGAAGAAGCTGCAGCAATATCATCTGTCAAGTACACATATAGATTTTGTGTATGAGATTATTTCTAAGTGTTTGATAATTATAACTCACACTTAAACTGAAAATATATTTCTAACATTATACCGAAGAATCGTATTGTTTATCACATATTAACATGTTATGATTATAATTTTTTTTATTAAGTAATAATTACAAGTTAAATGATATATAACATGTTAATAGGGACATAATAGGGTGGATTTAATTATTAAAGAGGTGTATATAGAATGAGTGAACTTACTTGTTAAAGAGGTGTATATAGCATGAGATGAATTTAGTTACAAATGAGGTGAGTATAGAAAGAGTAAACTTAATAGTTTGATAATCTATATAATAAAGTAGAGCTGAGTTTGAATCCAGAGACAAAGAGTGGTCCAGATCTTTTTGAGATAAAATATAAACATATCTAACGAACAACGTAATCTCAACATAAAAGATGGTTCAGATTATTTCATAAATACTGATCTGACGGTCATAATTGAACTTAACTCTAATACTCCTATCTCTCATATAACTCTCTCTCTCATATCTCTTAGACGTTTTAATACACCGTCTCATCTCTTCACTTTCTCTATATCTATATAATAAAATAGTTAGATTGATTTGTCTTGAGTTTTTTGCGAATTAGATCATTTTTAGGTTTATTATTCGACGATCCTAATTAATCTACATTCTTACAAGACTCTGTTGCATTCCTTTTATCTCTCCTCATCCCCTCTAAAATCTATTAAAACTCTAATAATAAGGTTTATCTCTAATAAAATATAAGTTCATTAAACATATGTTGTCCTATATATATATATAATCCAATCTATATAATAAGTAGTTCAAGCGCGTAATTTAAAATTAACAAAATAATAATACAATAACAAGGATTGCCGCTAACAAAACATAAGTTTATTAACATATGTCATCCTACATCTATTTATTTATCCATATCAATATATATAATTTATAATATAAAATATTACATACTTCAATAAACTCATTTGAAAATCTCAAATAGACTCATCTAGCAGCCATCAATATCCCTCTCAAAACCATTCACATTAAATTATCCCCCTCTAATTCCATCACTTCTTACTTACGTTGTAGCTCAGATCGCTCGACGATTATTGATCCGACGGTCCTAATGCTAACTTCCCTCTCCCAATTTTTTGAACAAGACTTTTATTTATTCCATAATTCTAAAACTTTGATATCTATTTTAACTCTCTCTCTCATCTCTATCTCATACTACACATTAATTAGGTCGTTAATTATAATTCTACATAATTACGGATTGTTTTTAAAATTGTCAAATAAATAAATGAACCTTAAATACAGATTCCTTGCATCAAAACAAGTTGAATGGCTAAAATATATTTCATATTTTGTATTAAAATAAAAATACTATAATATTCGAATAATATAATAAACGAATTATATATATATAATGTGTGATATATCTTTATATTAATGGAGCTATCATTGTTTGTCTTGAATTTTTTATGGGTCAGATTGTTTTAAGGTTATTGATCAAATGATCAAAACTACTCCTCCAAATTATTTTTCGGCTCAAAATTTACAAGAATCATTTCATTTTACTTGATTATCGGTTTGAAGTGATTATGATTATCATTCGAATTGAGCTGAATTTTATTGTCGAGTATAAAGTACATATTTTTGTTTAAACTTAACTTTACTTGAATTTTGCAAATATTCAAAGTTGAAGTCAAATTAAAATTAATTGTAAAAATAATAAAAAATAATTAAATTTAAAAAAATTATGGTTTCACTGTGAATGGGAAATAGATAAGAATTAGTTTGTAGGTTTAAGATAAAAATATTAACTAAATCGAACTTAAATTCATTTCTCAATTTGACGTAATTATGATTAATACTCGAATTTGGTTGAATTTTAAACTTAAATTCAATTGAATTTTACAAATATTTAAGATGGACTAAAATAGAAACTGAGTTTAATTTCTTAACAAAATTTTTTACATTTAGTAGAATTAACGTGAAACTTTTGGATGTTTTTCTCACAAAAGTTACACAAACTCACATTGGAAAAATAGTGCAGAGATAATGTTATAAACATTATGTAAAAACCTGCAGAAAGACAAATAGTTATAATTTTTTCATATTTGAGATAAAGTTTATTAAAAATATTAAAATCATAAATGTTTGATCAATAATAATTATATTTTTGAATTAATATGTTACAGTAATTATAACGTGACTTTCGTTATATAAAAATTTGATTATATATATTCTGCATATAGATTGAACAATATCAATTTGATTGTTGTATTGTTCAAATTATATTAGACATTGTCTTCATTTATGAACAAATATTTATAATTTTTTACAAGTAATAAAGTACCTTCAGGCGCGGACAATTACTAATTTTATAATATGAAACAGAGAAGATTTCAATAAGTTCATCTAACGGTCTCAAATAAACTCATTCAACGGCCACAAACATCTCTCTCAAAATAATTCATATTAAATTTTATATTCCTCTCCTCGCTCTTCTTTTTCTCTCTCTAGAATATTGACTTCTCATTTTTTTCAAATTAATCAGTTGGTTGATGTTATACCATACCTTTAAACATAGGTTACCTCTAGTAATAAATTAAATGGGGGGAATGGATACTTGTGGGTTAAGAATAGTTCCATCCAAACAAATAAACAAATGGACATCACAAAAATTAACAACCAATATTTCATGTAAATAAATAATTACTCACTCCTTTTTAATATAAGTCGATAACTATCTAAGTGGAATTTATTTTACCCACTTAATATTTTATTATTAGTTATTAATACCACATTATCATTGGTGATACGTTGATATTATATCACCGTTGTATTGATTTTTTTCTCAAGCGTACGACCCTTAAACTAAATTAACCTAATGGTTATATCAAGCATGAAGCTCTCCATTTTTTACGTCATGAAGCAAGAAGACAAAAGCCCGAATATTCTTTGGAATCAAGTCCGAAAACAAGGCAATCAAAAGGTTCAAACTCTTTGACTTTTTTTATGTCTCTAACTCTATTAATTTGTGATGTCAAATAACTTGTGAAAATATTCACACCATCAATATTTTTGAAGCTTCCATGGCAGGCCTTCAATACAATTTCTTCCCCACCGATTTCTACTTCCCTCCACAACGTTCGATCAACGGGGACACCACCGGCCGGAAGGTTCGTCCGGTGAAGACCCTAAAAAAAATGATATCGATGATTCCAAACAATCAACAACTTGGTTTGTCGTGACATCAATAAAAAGAATCTCAAAACTTTTCCTTCTTCATCAATGGCCTTGACTCTTATTGGTAAACAAAATCAAAATGAGCCTCAATAAGCTCTTCTACTGTTTTCCCTTTACGGGAAGGGGACGCAAAAATTCAAATTCAAGTCCAACAACGAGATAGTGATCATTAGACCAACTATTAATTTCTCACTTTATTGTTTACTGTTTAATAAGTTTCCTTTTATGATTAGTTTTTTCTTTTTTTGAGAAGCTTTGTAGCTTTATGTTTTATTTTGAAAATTTTGTAAAGCATTTTGAAGATGAAGTAAATCAATGTAAGAGAGAAATCATTTTAGATTATGTCTTCCTACCAAGTTCATTTGCCTGAGGTTCTATTTTCTGTCATTCTGGACTTTAATTAATAATCTAAAGTAATCAAATTACAGTTTGACCCACCAACTTATTATTTTTTTATGCTCTAAAGATCTAGATGACAACTATAAAGATCTAGATGACAACTACCAAGACTCGTGTGAAGTTGAGTGCCCCCTAGTTCAAATTGCATAAACTCATCACATAGTAGTTCTCAAATTCAATATAAGTTTGGAAAAATTACATTTTCCACCCTTTCAACTATTCTCATGTCGGATATTATCTCATTAATTGTCATGCTTATTACATTCCGTCTCTAATTATGCCTAATGATTTCACATTACGCCAATTACATATCTTAATTACAAATTGGCATGAAGAGTTCTATCATTTTGTCTCTCAAACTATGTAGTTTTATATGAATTTATCCCCAAATTTAATGAAGCGTGGGCATTTTTTTACGTTCAAAACATAACTGAAATTTGATTTTAGGACAATGTTAATTGAGCCAACTAGTTGATATAATAATATGAGAATAATAATAATGAAAAGGGTGAAGTGAGATCGAGACCATATGCAAACTATACTTTATCATCCTACAACCAATGGGTCTTTGATTCAATGATACTCTTTATCTTATAAAGATTTTGTTTTCTTAAGATCAAGAGATCAAGTCCTCCTCCTATTTCCGCTCCCCCTCCCCCCAAGAAAAAAAAATAAAAAACTTTATCATCCTACAACTAAGATGTTTATTTTAAGACAAAATTGTATTTTGATCCTTTTCAACTATGTCTCATATTCCATATTGCCTCTTCACCTGCAATGTTTCTCACATTGAAACTCGAACTATGGTTAATCAATTTTTGTCCCAATTATAGCAACCCAATTGATTTTGAAACAATGTAAAGCTAATTCGAATAATTGAGGAAATAATATCAACAAATGAATAGTAGGTGGACTGAAGTGAGATCAAGACAATAATTTTAATAAAAGGGCTTGATGCATAATTTGCTCTATTTTAAACACTCAAATATTCCAACACGCATGCTTAAAATTTCTTATGACCCCCCCCCCCCCAAAAAAAAAAAAATATATATATATATATATATATTTTTTTTGGAATATTCTTATAATTTCCGTCATGCATGAGAATGAATAACTGTGTCAATCCAAGGAATGTGATGTTGTGATGGTGCATTCAAGAAAACTACAAAAGGGGTACTTGGTGTATTTTTCATAGAGCTCTTTGTTGAAAACCCACTGTTTTTTTGATAAAAATATCAATGTAATGGTGATAACACATCATTCTGATCAAACCTACCAAAATTAATTGTGTACATCCATGTGTCTTCTTGTTTTCATTCATCCACTTATACGTGGTGAATCCCACTTTAAATAAACGATAAATGATTTAATTGAAATTTAATAGAAATATATTAGAAAGAATCTCAATTCATGTATGTTTAACATGCATACCGTCGACCCAATCTCTTACTTTTATGACCAGAGTTGCAAGTATATTCACAAAGCCATATCAAGCCTCTTCCAAGACCCGGGCGTCTCGTGCACTGGATCGTCTTTTTGGCTTGAACTTCACTTTCATAAACTCTATGTTTATGATGCAATTGATAATCTAGAAATGCCAAAATTTATACCAAAGTAAATTTTCAGCTTTGGGTATCTGACATAGGAGCCCTGCAAACAGCCTATCTTAATCCAAGTTCTCGGAGCACAAGAGCAAATCATTTAAAGAACAACACTGCTAACAAATTAGATTTGCACAAGCAGCCTGAAAACATAGGTTTCCGTATATAAAAACAAGCTGTATCATGAGAGCACACAAGTTCATGTGTTTGTCACCTCGCGTACGCACACAAACACACAGGCACACACACAACTACGCGAATGAAAATGGGGTGGCATTATACACAAAAGGTTCACAAAAGTATGAAACTGCCAGTCAGCACTTCCCGATTGACACAACTATGAGACCAGGACATAGCTTCTAATTTGAAATTGCATCTAAATTTCCACCTACTCAAACAGTTCCTTTGATATTTTCTTGATCTAAAATGTCCAATAATCATACGAGATTAATGTGAAGAAACCGAAATTCATACCAAAAAGAAGTCGAGGCTTCCACATGCATGTGCACGCCAACAAAACGGAGTTTAGGTAATCTACTTTCTTCAGAATTTCGTAAATACCACCATCAAAAATTCCCTTCATCCTTTGTTTTATGCCCATCACCCAAAACTAATCAAATGGATGCCCTAGGAGTGAGCTCTGGCAATGCTGGAGAACCTAGAGCTTGAGAATGAGACCAACAGGGCAATGATCACTACCAGTAACATCTGGAAGAATATACGAGTCGTGAACCTTGTCTGCTATGGATTCCGAGACAAGGAAGTAGTCCAGCCGCCATCCTGTTGCAATTTCATAAAAAGAAAATATGAAAGAGAGATATCAAATGGCATCAGTCATTATCAAAGGCATAGGTGAAAACAGATTTTTTTTTTTCAATTTTTTTTCAGTTGGTTGAAATAATATCTAGTGTAGGGTAGAGAATGCTAGAAGAAGGCGTCGACAAAGTTAAGGCCTGGGTAAGTCTTAAAAAAGCTGTGAATTTCCTGTTTTGACTTTATAATTTTTTCGCAGCTCAAAAGCATTTGAAACAAAAAAAAATACACTTCTCTAAATGTACCAGTGCACAAGGAAAAAGGAGGTATTTATCAACAGAAGAACAGAAGACGATAATGATAATGATGACGATAATTGATGGATTCAATAAGTTATGCACTAACTGCTCTTCCAAATGTAATAAAAAAGGACAGACTGATTGTATATTTCAGGCTACCACCAGCCCAAAGTCTTAAGAAAGACGAATGGCCCAAACAGAGGCTGTCGCTAGGCAAAATGTTGTTTAAATTATAATTTAGTGTCTGGCCCCTCCAGAATTCACATCAGACTTAACTTTTTCCTTTATTCTACAGGCTGAAATTATTGCAGAGCCTTGAAGAAAGAGGAGTAATCAACAAAAAACAGACAACCTTCTAAGAACCACCAAGTTCAAATATGCAGGATATTTCAGCCAATACTGGGTAAAATAATTCTCAAACCTGATAGAGAGAACATAAGAGAAGTATTGATATGGATGTTTAATATAAGTTCACATCCCATTTAAGCTCACATGAAGAACACTTATTCACCTTCTTTTTTCTTTTCTTATTACCTTCGCGCACAAAACTCTCGGTATGCATTTGACACAAAAAACTAAGGAAAAAGAATGGCGTTCTTACTTGAGAACCTCTGTTTCTCTATAAACCCAAGTAACACCAGTCCCCGGTAAGAAGAAATTCTAGACTATAATGCCCCCATTTTTTCTCAACCATCATATTCTCTCCCAAAGCCATAAAAATCAAACTTATACTGGAATTCAGTTTTTCACCCCATCCATCGTAGAGCTAACAATTTACCGCCCAATCGGAGTCCTCAGAGAAGCCATGTTCTGTCCAATTTCAAAATGTAAGGCCATGTTTGATTTAGTTTTCGAAAACTGTTTTTTGTTCTTAAAATTTCGAAAACACCAAAAACCTGTTTGTTTAATATTTTTGTTCTCTAAATTTTGGGAAAAAATGAGATTTGAGTCAAAGAAACAGAAAACAAGTGTAGCTTGTTTTTAGAGTTTTCTTTGAAAATTTTGAAAATAAGGAGAATAATTTTGAATATTCAGATATGGATATATATATATATATTATGAAATTGTCAATATAAAAATAACTTTTTTATATATTTTTATTTATGTTTGAATTACTGTTCAAACAAGTTTTACTATTTTCTATATTGTAAATTTGTTTTTGAAATCATCTAACCAAACAAGTTTTTTATCTCAAAAAATATCAAAACCACTTTCTTAAAATTCTTCTCAAATAACTATTTTCGGATAGTGTTTTTTGAAACGCAAACCAAACAGGCCCTAACATTCCATAATTCCATCCAATTAATGAAAATTTTATTAATTTTAGCAAAAAAATGCTATCATCAACATTCAAGCTATCTAAGTAACTTCTTATGTGTGCGGGAACCAGAAAAAAGTACGCAATAGCTCAGTATGAGTCCACATAAAAAAACCTTCCTATCAGAAATTTATCGCAAACATCAAAATTTCATCCTGCAAAACAAAATAGAAAATATCGTTCAGAAATTGCAGATATTGAAATACCTTTGTTTGTTTTACGCGCACCATGCCTGTAACCCCAGTACGTATAGCCAACAACACCAGGATGCTGCTTCCTAAAGGTATCCACAAAACCTTTATTTAAAAAATTTGTCTCAAATGATTGTCTTTCTTCGATTGTAAAACCAGCACTTCTCATATTTCCCTACAAAGGGCGCAAAAATCAAGAGAATGAATCTATGATAATGAAATATGCAAAAATCAGTTACCAGAGAATAAAACTATGACAGTGAAAAACCAATAAACTTTTTATCAACCTTGAAGTGCATACTGAAAATGGATAAATTGCTTCAGCCATGGTACATCACCCATGTCTTGTCATACTTTCTACCATTGTTATCACTAGGTCTTCTCTACGGAGCTTTCTATCGTGGAACACATTCCTTGACGAACAAGCATTAGATTTTGAAAAAGATTAAAGGATATTTTTGTGTACATATGTACAAATAGTTCGCTGATGAAAACAGTCCACGACAAAAAATACTGAAATCAAGAAAGCAACTTTATCACAAAAGGTGGTAACATCATTTCTGACCTACCCCCCACTGAAAAGCTACTGGGGCTATTTGGGTCTAGATTTTGGCTCCTAGATCTGATTTGATCAAACCTAGCACAATGACAATGTTGCTCCCTCCCCTAAAACAACAGTCCATATTCCTCACACAGAAGTCCCCATACACTGTCCATTTGGGTATTCAATTATTAAGTTTGATGATGTGTCCTTGGTTACAATGCTTACTATAATGCGTTAACCTTTCAAGCACTACCAAACTCTAAGGGTAGTTACGGTAGCTTATGGGGCTGAAGAGTTCCCTATCTTAGCAATGCGGAATATAATTCTTTTTTTGGGGACAGAATAAGGAGGTTCAAAGGGGAAGCAAAAGGTTTCAAGACAACTAAGTTACTTTATTCATACTAAACCAGAACAGTGCTTTCGAACATCACATACACAAGCATGCAATACGCAAGCAAGCAATACAAAATCCAGATAAAGCAACCTAAAGAAGCTTAAAGTTCTCAAAGCGAGTATTATTACTATCATTTGTTTAATTAATGAATATGCCCAACCATCAGCCTTTAAACGTGTGGCCACAAAAATGTGTGCAATCACCCACAGATCACGCCATAGTATAAACTAGGGTTCTATTGCATGACTTGAATTTGAGACGTCTTATAATCGATTATAGTGTTGCACTTCAGTAAAAGAAATTAGATTAAACTTCTTTTCATCCAGTTTCAATATACTTGTATTACTTCCAAGTCCAACTATTTCTGCGTTAAGTTCTGGAATTGCTATATTTTACCAAACCAAAAGATTCCACCTCCAGATTCCCCGAAGTTACTCATTGAGGTAAGCAAATAACATTAAAATTTACTTCAAATAAAATTTTCGAAGAAAGAAGAATACGTTCAAAGCAAAATATTCCAGATAATCACACTAAGCAGCTATAGATCTGACAATGCTTCCTCTTAAGCAACTGAACTAAACCAATCATGTCACATCACGAATCAACATTTCACAACTATAGAAATGAGATATTTGTCAACCCAGTAGCCTTTTCTGAGACAGGTTGCATGTTTGAAACAGACTAGCTGCCAAATTAAATTAAATTAATTGATATTACAAGTGACAATCTGGATTACTTACTGCAGGATTATAGATATCTATCTCTTCATGAGCACAGTTCAGATCACCAGTCAAAATAACAGGTTTCGACATTTCAAGCTCCTACAGTAAGTATAAGCAGGAATCAGAATACTCCTGACCACAGGAAATCCAGCTATCAACCCTTCAATATGCAAAGAAAATAGTAAATGATGTATTGAAGATTATTAAAAAATCATCCACGTCTCCCCCTCCCCCCCCCCCCCCCCCGGGGGGGACAAAAAAGAAAAGACACGATTAAGAATAAAAAGAAAAGAACAAAAAACAAAGAGAGAAGGTTGATAATGAAGTAATATAACAATCTAACATAACCATCTGGGTGATTCTCAAGGATTAGCTAGAAGCCTAGAACCATAACACTTTCCTAATATTATCAGATCGAACGGACTTGTACACCATATTAATCTATTTGTTGTAGCCTTGTAGGTCATGTGATTGGAGAATAATTCAGAAAAGAAATCAGTATTGCCATCAAAAAAAAAATTATGAGAGGTAAGGCCAAGAATTTTACAAGGAAAATCATTCTTCTCAAAAGGAACATGGCTAAAATTCAGCATAAATGATGAATAATTGAGCTTCCTAAGTAAAGCAGAAAAGAAAGCACAGCAAGGAAGCTCTATTGCATAGGCTTAACTATGGCAACCTATGCAAAAGCAAAAGATTTGATTCGGGATGTATAAATACCTGTGTGGGCCTGAGAACACAACATAAACAGAAGCAGACTTACTTTGATGTAATTGCCAAGGGAAGGATCCCACTGGGTTACCCTGTATGGCTAGCAGTAAAGGAAGATCAATAAGTCTAAGAAAGTTTTGTCTTCAATATATATATATATACTTTATTTCAAAAAACAGAAGATCATGAAACATTGTAAAGTTAAGAGTCAATTACTAGTCTTTTTAAACCATCACCAGAGTTAGGAATGTATCCACTTAGTAAATAGAAGTTATTCAACTCTATGGTCACGAGCCGTCCTTCACTATCATGATCTGATATGCCCAAACCATATCTGACAGAAAGTGGTTTTATCTGTCAGATAAAAAGTAGTTTAGCCAATCAAGTGATGATAAAATATCATAACCATATGAAGAAACAAGATGTTAGTTGCTCAAAGCATCAGGCTGCAAATGAAATAGCAATGATACACGTAAAATGAAACTATTGGTTTAAGCCCACAGCTATTGGTTTAAGCACATATGTAAGATGAAACTGAAAATGCAACTCTAGCTCCCTACCTAACATTTGCAAGCAAGATATCAAATAGAATTGTCATGCTAAAGATGGATTCAATATTGTATTTAGTCCTTGTCTTTCCATATGTCCTACTGTAAATTATTTGCTCGGGAAGGGTGCAAAGCTTCAAAAAGAACTGTGGTTGCATAATGCTCATAACCATTGTAGTTCGATTTCAAGACCTTGCAAACATGATATATAACAAAAAAAAAGTGTTCTGACGAGATCTTCACCTCTATTTATCGCTAATAGTATCTCTCAACTGTTATGCTGCATTTATGGCTTTGATGAACAAAAAATGAACAAATTTTACTGGGTTGCACAAAGGCAGATTTTACAACTCAGTGTACGATGCTTGGAATTTTATAACGTTCCCATCTTTTGGATGATAAAATAGCATAACCATATGAAGAAACAAGATGCTAGTTGCTCAAAGAATCAGGCTGCAAATGAAATAGCAACAATACACGTAAAATGAAACTATTGGTTTAAGCCCACAGCTATTGACTTAAGCACATATGTAAAATGAAACTCTAAGCCCTAACCAACATTTGCAAGCAAGATATCAATTAGAATTGTCATGCTAAAGATGGATTCAATATTGTATTTAGTCCTTGTCTTTCCATAGGTTGTACTGTAACTTATTTTCCCTGGAAGGAACATACCCACATTCTTCCACAAAATGTATGGAAAATGGAAAATAGCAAGTTAAAAAAAACTACTCAGCATTATGATTTGTTACAGTCTGTGCAAAGCTTCAAAAAGAATTGTGGTTGCATAATGCTCATAACCATTGTAGTTTGATTTCAAGACCTTACAAACATGATATATAACAAAAAGTGTTCTGACAAGATCTCCACCTCTATTTATCACTAATAGTATCTCTCAACTGTTCTGCTGCATTTATGGCTTTGAAAAACAAAAAATGAACAAATTTCACTGGGTTGCACAAAGGCAGATTTTAAAATGTTTACAATTTAGTGTACGATGCTTGGAATTTTACAACGTTCCCATATTTTGGTGTTAGATCATGGGTATTGCTCAGAGCACCGCACCGATCCATCAAGTGAAGCCACCTATGATGCACGCCCACAGATATGGGATACGAACACTTCCACAAGGTAAATTCTGAAAAAGTAGGACAAAGAATAGCCATAACTAATTGTGGTTTAAATCTGTCACTATATACACATACACTTGTGGTCTATGAAGCACGGATACTTCGTCAAAGTCTAACGTATCCGTATTAGATACGATATTCGTCCAACAATTAATAAAATATGTGAATACTTCGCAAATACTTTCTACACATGGAGTAAGAGGTACAATTTTCAATTTTAATCTATACATTTTCCTTTCGAGTTTACAGACAATAAAAAAAAATTGATTTGACATTGAAGACACGAGTTTTTTTTCCACTATTACATGTCAAAAAAGTATAAAACAATGAATTAATTACACTATAACCTTAGAAACAAATACTAGTAAACAAATCAACTAATTAAATGTTGATTCTAATTCCTTTAATTAGTCATGTTCATTTTATGGATATATCATAATAGAATGATATTACACATTTTTCAAGGTAAAATTACTAATTTTGTTTAATATTGTTAAAGAATTACTAAAAATTGTAATTTTTAAGTTGTTAAATAATAGTAAAATATAAAATATATTTTATTATAGACATATTTCAGCCGTTCCCATATCTTTTTTTTTTAGATTTTATCGTATCGTATCGCACCAATATCCCGTAATCGTATCCGTATTCGTATCGATGCTTCCTAGCTTGTGGTATTATATAAAATAAGAAAAAAAAACTAGTACTTTATGATAAGCAAATCATATGTCCAGTACTTTAATATGAATTTTCAAACAAATGTGTCATTGTAGTCAATAATCATCGATGTCGTATAGCAAAACCTATATAACTATAATGAAAGCTCTCATCTTTCAAGTACTCTTCTTCTGTAAAATTGTATGCATCTTTTCTTTCTGTTGGTAAATGTTTCTTAAAACTCCAACATGGCTCACATTCATATATTATTTCATAGTCTAAGACTCTTAGACTTTCTCTAGCATTGCAATGACGGGAGCCTAGTGCATTGGACCATAGTATACACTGTCAAGCATCAAATTTTCAAGCTTTGTTAATTTTATGTCAACATTGGGTTATGTTTTGATAATAGGCACAACCTAAATAAATGTCAAACATGTCACTAAAGAAGTGTTAAGACATATCTAATAGGAACACGTTTCTCAACAGATGAATATTGCTATATATTATAACAACTCAGACAACGTTGACATAATTCTGGTACAATACTGGCATAGGATATGAAAAAAGAACCATCATACCCGTGAAATTATTGCAGTACCAGAATATCCAAGTTTCGAGACACTGCATGTCCAAAAGCTATTCTCATAGCCTTCTAAGAGCGTATCTTTGATCGCCTCAACATCTTTCTCCTGTTTAAAAAAATGAAATGGCAATCACAAGGAAAGAATCCAAACCTAATGTTGGACCATGATATAAGTGCATCATAAACAACTCAACTTCACAAAAGCCACCTATTATTATTTATGAGAGCCCAATTTTATCTCTCTTGGTCGCCCTCACATGAAATGTCCACATTACACTACCAAATACACAAGACTCAAAAAAAAACAAAGTGGTAATATAAAATGCAAAATTATTTTACGACTTTCTTCCCACAATTAGCTAGTTGTTCCCCATTTGAGTTGAACGAATTCATGTTTAAAGAAAAAGAACAAATAATATATATATATATATATATATATATATAGCAAACTGTTACCATATCAACTTATATATGTGAGATTGAAACACTTCAATTTTTTTTATATTTGCTCCACAAATTCCTCGGGAATATAGTCACTAACTTGCATTCAGTCTAGGAAAGACATTCTATTTTTCTCCACAGAATGAGAGCTTTAATGGAACATGTATTCTCCAGTTTCGACCCATTAGACACACAATGAGAGGAAAAGGGGAAGGGGGAATAAAATTTACAATAATGCTTCAAATGTACCTCTTAATACTCATCAACCAACTAACCAAACAAAGTGTTATGTCCCAATCACTTTTACTGCTGAACTACGGGGTTTAGTCATTATTTTAAAGGCTGTAGTGCTAAAATACCCAAAAACTGTTCATATGATTCGTGCGAAGAATCATGGAAAATTCAAAAACAGATAATGGGACAAAATAGAATGACATGTAAGTTAAACTTTTTTTTTTATGTTGATAGAGTGTTACACTATGTATCAACACTCTGGGCCTCACCATGTCGTGTGTGTGTGGTAGATAGTGACTTTAAGTTAATATAGGATTTGTTAATAATGGAGATTTTCTCATTTTATTGGCTTTCCCAGTTAAATAATGTTTTCATGGATTTCCCACTGAATTAGATCACTGATATCCTAATTACAAACAACAACTTCTTTTTCGTGGCTAACATACCATAGGTGAGTTTTATAACTTACTGCACCAACAATATCAACTTCAATATTGAAAAATCTTCTGGAACTAAACCAGTCACATAAATAATAATGGGAATCCTTTGTATGATGCAAATATGCACAACGAACAGAAAATTTTTAGCAGTCCTTCTGAATTGCTTCAAACTAGGTTCAATGATGAATGGCCTTTTATTATCACATCAGTCTTTTCAATCTTAATTCAATTTATGTATCACGCATCTATAAATGCCCCCTAATAGAAGCAACTAACTACAAGGTGAATTCTTCAGCTAGTGAACAAAATGAGGGACTACATGCCTGTAGTTTGGTCTCTTGCAAGCACAATACATCAAAATCTTCTCTTTGAGCAAGTTGCAATGCAGAAAAGGCCTTTACTTTCAGTAAAGCTCTCAACCCATTGACGTTCCAAGACATCAACTTCACATGATTTCTATCACCAGTAAGAGGAGGTGGCCTCATAGTTTTGGGATTGTATGGAATCCAACCTTTCTGAGGCTTCTTGTGGGCAAGAATTGTCCAAGGCTCATTTTGATTCTCAAGAGAGTCAAACATGCCCGATGATCCAAGATCTCCAAAAGCAATTTCCGATTGAATTTTTCTCTTTGCCGGGGTGGATTTCTTACTGGAAAGCACTATCCATCATAAGGCACCACCTTTTCAGTTGAATAATTTAATCCAAAAGTAAAATGTAAAAATATGAGCAAATTCCTCAAGAAAAGACGACCTCCCCCCCCCCCCTTTTCTTCCCTCTCTTTCTCAAGGAAAAAGAAAGCAAAATGAGGTTTAACCAGAAGCACCTGTTATCTCATTGGTCTCAATTGATAGCTCTTGCTTTGTTGCATGTAGCTCAACATATTCATCCTCAACTGGGCCCTGTTTTACTTTTCTTTTTGTCCGTTTAAGTCCATGAACCTCTGAAGCAATATTTATGTTCTGAACATGGCCTTCAATAGATGAACCTTTACCCTTCCTTTTTGAACTACTCTTCGTACAAATTTGTGCAGCTTTGGAAGATAATTGATCTTCCACTATCAAAGAACCGTCGTCTGCATCTATGAGACAAATGTCAACTGCAGATGCGTTCTTAACTTTATGCTCTATTCCTTAGTTGCAGTATAAAGAAACTAAAAGGTGACTTAAAACAAGTTTCACTTTTTTTAAGCTAGGAATATAGATACAACTGACTATATGGGCTTAGTTTGACTAGAAAAATAGAATACCATTGTTTTTGTTGTTCAAGAAACTCTTCATAGCATGGATAAGATCACGTTTAGAACCTTTGGCAGGGACCCCAACACTCCTACAGATTCAAAAGAAAAAAATCTCAAAACTCAGCATGAAATGCACAAGACGCTGTGCTGCAAATTATTAGGCAGCTCAATGCATTAAACTGGTTCCAACTAACATAGTGACTGTCCTGATACATAATATACGCAGAAAGAAGTGTTAACCCTAAAATAATGGTTGATTCAAAAGGCATGCAATACAAATAAGAGATAATGCTTTTCAATAATGGCATATCAAGTAGCAATATGCTCACTATAAATCACTAGCCAAAGTTAACAGTATTATAAAGGAACAGAATGTATATACAGGGTACCATTTTTGTACAAGTTTCATGTTTCATATGAGTCTGTCTATTACACGACTTCTCCAACACGTAATGCTTTGACAAAAACTGAAAAATAAACACGGGCCACAATGAAACGGCAGCGGGGACAAAATAAGACACAACTCTGGGTGTTTAAATCTTGGTCCAGGACCTGAGATCCATATTTCTCTATCACAATCACTTGACCCAGTTCGGTTAGTTTTTGCCATTTTCTAAAAACCATGGCAAACCTCATTTTCAAATTCCCTGCCTTTTTCCAACCGTTTCTCAGCAAGAAGGTAGATAGAAGTATCGACTGCAAAACTGCTACTTACCTTAATTTTAATCTGAGTTGTTGAACTGTCATTCTTTCAACACTATCCTGATCATCCACAAGAATCTCACTTTCAACCATTTTACCTCTCACAACAGTCTCCTACATTCCAACAAAACATTCATATCAATTTTATAAAACTATTAATGACCCAAAACACCTGCAAAATCGTTCTACACCCACATAACACAGACTGATATTAAAACCCATCACCGAATTAGAACCCAGAAGCTCGCAGTTATTGACCCAGAATTTTAGTATTGCATTAGGTGATAACCCTATATCACAGATTATTATGAGTAGTAAAAAAGCTACTCAATTACCTTGAGAACAATTTCTTTCGCTTCCGATGTCGAACTTGAAAGAAGTCTTTTGGACCCCATTGTTTCAGTTGTCGGAGAAACCAGTGAAAACCTTTTAAAATTCCTTGGAATTACTGCAAAACTACCAATTTCTCATTCAATTTTAGCTATTTTTTTGGCTGTTTGGGGGAAAAAAACATTTTCCAGATCAACTACATATCTCAGCGAAACATATCAATATGTATCTATGCGTGTATTACCTTTTGAGATTTGTGAAACTATGGAACCCTAATTTGACAGCTTGGTTCATGGATGACTGGGGGTAGGGAAAGGGTGGTTAGCTGAAGAGGGAAGTGCATGGGAAGTATCAAGTATGGACGAAAATATGGGGGTGCAGCCAATCGGCAATGGAGTAGCGAGTTGGGGATTAGAGGCCACGTTTGTTGTACACGTGGCATTGCAAAAAGAATTAGGACCCACAAGTATGAGTGTGTTATAGAAGTGATTAAAATGTAATGCTACGCATCCCACACTTCTATCCCAAAATTGCAACTCAAATTAATAAGGATAATTACATTAATAGGTTCCAATATTTTTTTTTTTTACGGGAGCCACTTATTCAATTTGGAATGTAAATTTGAAAAACAAAGTATTTCTCATTTTTAAATGGTCAAAATAGCCGAACTATTTTTGTTTTTAAAGAAATTAAAATAAATTGGTGATAAAATTAAAATACTAATATTTTAAGATATTTCATAATATTTTAACGCATTTACGTAATTATTTCAAAATATAATTAATAATCATGAGTAAATTCTCCAATTAGTGAACCCCAAAAGGTAACTTAAATGGTAATGGGATAATTTGTTATAAATATAGACGTTTTGAGTTCAAAATTTGACAATCTCTTAAGTCCAGAATATGAGAGATTTATCTCTCATGAATACCTTAATCCCAACATGAATTACCTGTCTTTGATCGAACTAAAACAAACATTAGAGGGCCACACCCTTACCGTCTTGGAAATAGTCAGCCCTCACCGCATCTCAACCACCCCGCACCGTTGAGAAGAAGTCATGAGCTCCACCAAAATAGTTGCTTAGTTGCTGCAAAGTCGTCCCAACCTGTTAGAGGACCACTATAAATTGTAAGTCTCACCAACACTTGGGAAACAGGATCACACTTTTACCTGAGCACGACTCTCATCCCCCTCTCAAAAGTTTGTACTCTCTGCTCTCTACACCCTTAAACTAATAAAGTATCTGGCGACCAAGACCATTCAAAAGTGGACGTAGGTCACGATTGACCGAACCACTATAAATCGTGTCTTCTCCATCGCTCTTTACTTTTAATTACTGCATTTATTTTCTATCACTTTACAGGTGGTGTGCAAAGTCATTTTGTGTATTATCAATTTGGCGCCGTCTGTGAGAAAGACAAAAAATTCTCACTTTTAAACACTCTCATTGTTGAACCTATAGCAATCACCACTAGATCCATGAATCAACTTGAGGATAATCCACCACGAGAGGAGGAGGTTATTACTCCACCTACCAACCCTGTTTCAAATGCTCCAGTTCCAAATCTTCAGCAAATGTTAGAGACCATACAACAACTGATGGCCCAAAACTAACAGATCCTGCAACTCATGCTTGCCGGACAAGGAGGAGCACAACTTGGAGGACCTCAAGGAGCTCCACATCCTGGACTTCAAAAAGCTCCACGCCCTGGACATCAAGGAGCTTCATACCTTGTTGCTCCCTATTTGGGCACCTATGCAGGTCTGGGCACCCCCTTTGGAGTCCCCTTGGGCGCCCCACATAGGGGGAGCCCATCATGAGGCACCTCCATCACCTCCTCCTCCTGCTTCCCATGGTGAAAACCCTTATCCCCAAGAGGATGAGAGTGAAAACCAACGCATGGAACATGATAGTCATTTTCATGATCATTCCAGAGGAGCCCCCAATCACTGAGATGAGAAAATTAAGGAAGTGCAAAACCAACTAAGTGTCGTCTTCAACGCCATGAAGGTGCAAGGACCTGAGACAGTGGACTACCTGGTAAGGCGGACAGACTCGCCTTTCAAACCTGACATGACGAACTACCCCCTCCCCCAAAAGTTCAAAATGTCATTTGTGGAGTTCTTTGATAGAACGAAAGATCCACTAGACCACCTTGACACTTACAAAACTCAGATGCAGCTACACAACGTCCCAAATGAAGTCATATGTAAGGCGTTCCCAACCACCTTGAAGAGATACGCCCCGACAATGGTTTGTCAAGCTCTCCCCAACCTCCATTGCTTCCTTTGATGAGTTGAGCAGATCATTTGTGGCACAGTTCACTGGTGGACACCGCCAACAAAAACCTGACATCCATCTACTCAACATAAAACAAGACGAGAGTCTGAGGAGTTACCTCACTCGTTTTAAAGAGGAGGTCCTTTGAGTTGAGAAGTCCGATGACAAAGTAACTATGACTGCTTTCTTGGGAGGCCTCTGCTCGTCAAACTTCCTCTTTTCAGTAATGAAGCGACCACCAAAGAACATGCCAGAACTATAGACAAAAGTTCAAAAATATATGAATGCTGAGGAAATCAACAGGTACAGACGAGGTGAATCATCTCGTGGATCGACAAAAGCTTGACCTGCCTCTACACTGTTCTCAAACAGGCTGCCCATATCTCTAATTAGCGACTTTCTCATGGGTCGCCAAAAACTTGGCTTCTGCACTGTTCTCAAATAGGCAGCCTACATCTCTAACTTGACGGCTCTCTCATGGGTCGCTAAAATCTTGGCCTCTGCATTGTTCTCAAACAGGCAGCCTACATCCCTAGCTTAGCGGCTCTCTCGCAGGTCACCAAAAGCTTGGTCTCTGCACTGTTTTCAAATAGGCAGTTATACCTCAAGCTTAAAGACTCTCTTATGGGTCGCCAAAAGCTCGGCTACAAAAGGTGTAGCTTTCTCACGAATAATCCTCAAACTCTATCTTTTGCTCTCACGCAAGCAGCATACCTCTCTCTCCAGGTGACTATCTTTAGATATTTTAATGTTTGAAATAACATTGTTTTTACCATCTCTAGCCAAACACTTAACTCAGGGCGTCTGCATCCCCCGGGATTACATTAGAGTGAATGTCAACAATCGAGTCTCCTTCATCTGGCACCTGCTCTTGGGTACTAACGCCCCTCCTGGCGTATAGCTTGCATGTCATGGTCTACTCGCCCGAATAAGGTCGTTGCAACCTGGGCACCCAACTTCGAGCTTGCCTGGACCTCGATTCCATGTCTGACCGCCTCCACGCGAGTAGGCTGCTCGCCCAAACTGCCCAGCGCAGCAGGCTTGCTCGCCCATAACGCCCATCAGCTCCATGCCAAGCAGCATCGGGCTGCTCGCCACTGCTCAAATCAGCGCCTAAGGCATATGCAGGCCCAAGATGCCTAGTGTAGCAAGTTGCTCACCTAAGTGGCTATGCACAGCAAGATGTTTACCCAACTAATTTACGCGCACAACAACCTAGATACCCCCCTCTGCTCGGCCCATCAGCGCGTATAGCGCCCATCGGTGCACTCCCCAAAGCTGCTCCGTGCTCACCTAGGTCACATCGGCACCCGATCCCTGACTAGTAGAAATGCGCGCCCAACACCTCATATAAGCAGCCTACTCTAACTCCGGTGACCCCATGTGGCCTACAAGCATGCCCAAATCGCCCCCTACCTGTCTCGACTGTATGCCCAATAGAGCCTACCCTGCTGCGTGCCCAATAGTGTCCACCACTAGCTCACCGCCTAGATCAGCGCACAAATGGGCGAAAAGCTCCTCCCCATTACACGTGGTCTGCTCACCTCCACCATCTAGTGTTCTTCAAAAATCCAAAGAGATAAGTAAAAGAGGGAATTTATGCAGTTGAAGGTGCCCCCCACAAGTAAAAGGAGTATTCTGGAAGGGAAGGGGTTGCCGATCAAAAGGATTTTCAAAAAATTTGGATTTAAAGAGGGTTGTACGCTATTTTTTACCGTAACTTTTGATTCGAGCTCACCTCCTCTACGTGCCCCAACGTTGGTCTCCTCCCTCAGCTTGCTTAATTGCCTGTCCATAATAGCATGAGCGCCCATCTCCTTGGTCAGCTCGCCCAAGGCCTCCAAGATGCCCAAGACAGCCTCAAGCTTGCCTAGAAGCTGCTGCTCGCCCAAAATCGAGCGCGCCTGCTCGCTATTTTGATCATAAATTTTGTTCCATAACTTTAAAAAGGGACTTATTATATATCAAATCAAAGCTCTCGACGAGCCCTACAAGACCCAAAACCTTTGGTTGCGATTGATGGTGTAAAAAGTTCAAAAAAGGCTGAGAAATAGCTATTTTAGCCTCCTGAAGTTTTTTTTTAAAAAAAAAATTATGCTCGCCCAGGACTCCCCCTACTCACCCAAATCAGTGCCTGTTCGCCCAAATCGCTCGCCGAGTTCCCTACTCAAAAGTTTGACCGTAACTTTTGCTCCGTTACTCAAAATGAGGCTTATTATATATCAAATCGAAGCTCTCAGTGAGAACTACAACACTCATAACCTATAGCTATGATTGATACTGTAAAAATCCCAAAAAAGGCCTAGAAACAAATGTTTCGGCCTCCCGAAGTGTTTCCAATTGCACCGATCAATCAAAAATTCAAACTCAACCGAATGCCCTCATCTCTAAGTTCCATTGGACATAGGGCATTGAGGGGCAAATGATGGGAAAAGCCCAAGGGCCCAACTTCAAAGAGTCCAACTAGCCAAGCCCAAAAGAGTCTGCACCCGATCAAATTCATCAGGTTCCATGAGTTACATCAATAGAGGAGCATGCAAGGTCATCCAAAAGTCTCCTCCTCTACCACCTTGGAGTAAGGCTCATTATAGCCACATTAGAGTAAGGAGGCTCATCCTAGCCACCTTGGAGTCAGGCTCATCAAGAAGTTACGCCACATCATCAAGAGAGCATTAAGAGTCACAACCTCACCGTCTTGAAAATAGTCAGTCCTCACCTCATCTCGGACCGAGTCTTGTCGAGAGCACTTCAACCACCTCGCCCGTTGAGAAGAAGTCGTGAGCTCCACCAAAATAGTTGTTTAGTTGTTGCAAAGTCACCCCAACCTGTTAGGGGGCCATTATAAATTTAAGCCCCATTAACACTTAGGGGGCAAGATCACACTTTTACCTGAACATGACTCTCCTCCCCCTCTCAAAAGCTTGTACTCTCTGCTCCCTACACCCTTGAGCTAATAAAGTATCAGACGACCAAAGTCATTCAAAAGTGAAAGTAGGTCACGATTGACCGAACCACTATAAATCTTGTCTCCTCCATCTCTCTTTACTTTTAATTACTACATTTATTTTCTATCACTTGACATGTGGTGTGTAAAATCATTTTATGCATCATCAAGAATGGTGAAACGATTAATCATTGGACCATCTCTATCTAAATATAGAGGTTTTGACCCATACCATGGGGTTTTAAAAAAAATGTCTCAAATAATGGTTGGTTTCAAAATAATTCTCAAACCCACGTTGTTTTTAAAAACGTCAAATAGATTGATATTTTTAACACAAAAAATGTGGCTCACATTCAACTTAAACACGTTAAATAGACTAACGTTTCTATTTAAACACGTCAAACCGTTTGACGTCTTTAAATTGCCTGACTTTTCTGTTCTTTATTTAACGTCTTTTTATATTTGTAAAGGACAACACTCCATGAAACACCAATACTTTTTAATTTAAAAATACATATAATATTTTTTATTGGGTGTAACGCTTACGGTTTGTACGAAACTTTAAATTTAATTATATATATACATCTTTAATTTTTAAAATTTGATATGCTAAAAAATATAAATATTTTTAATTTATCAAAATTTATTTATTGAATGTAATTAATATTTTAAATAAATAAATAAAACTCATCCCCTCACAAAAAAAGGGGAGCAAAACATTTTTAAGTATTATTGTTAGGAAGAAAAATGTCAGTAGGGGAAAAGAAATTTATGTATTTTTAAATTATCAAAATTTATTTATTGAATGTAATTAAATTTTTAAATAAATAACAAAAAATTCATCCTCTCAAAGAGATAGGGAGCAAAACAGTTTTACGTATTTATGTATCATTCTTAGGGAGAATAATATCAGTAGGACAAACGAAATTTATGTATTTTTAAAATATCATAATTTTTTTATTAAATAAACATTTAATATTTTACTCAAAAAAAAAATGCAAAAAACCTGTCATTAAAATTTTTTTTAGGTATTACGAAATTATTTAATTGAAATAAATCAATTAAAATTTTAAGGACTAAATTAAAACCCAAGTCAAAATTTAAGGGACAATTATGATAATTACGCAAACAAACATTAATTTATTTATGTTTGTTTGCGCACTAATATTTCATAGATTTTGGGACTTGGTCTTTCATGGGGAGCTGTCCTTATTTTTGGCCAATATGGGGTGCTGTCTTTTACAAATATAAAAAAGCGCTGAATAACTAAAAGAAAAGTCAGGCAATTTAAAGACGTCAAACAATTTGACGTCTTTAAATTAAATGTGGGTCATAGTCTTTAACTTAAAAACGTCAGTGCATTTGACATTTTTAAAAATAACATGGGTTTAAAAATTACTTTAAAATCAACTATTATTTGGGACATTTTTTTTAAAACCCCATGGGATGGGTCAAAACCTCCTAAATATAAGTTGTATCTAAACCATTTCTAAAGAAAGTAGTACATGAGTAATTCCAATATGTGGTCTCAAAGCTGTGCTGGGCATGGTCAACATGGGATGGTTTCTCAAGTGGTAGACTCAAACCAAACTGATAAATACTTAGCAAAATCAATTACAAAAGAAGAATCCAGTAAAATGATTAACATTACCATTAAATCTCCAATCATACAGAGCTTATATAATCATTATAAGCCAAAAATATTGGTTTCCTAATGAATGCCTGAAATTCTCAGGGAGATATTCCCATAACAATACAACACCAAGTATGTTACCAACAAACATAACTAACTTCATCTTCTGATCCCCCTACAGTGACAAGATGAAGCTTGATTGCTTTAAGTACCCCCGAGACCAAAAAGGTGTCGGGATACTTACTTGAGACAGGTTCATATTTTCACAGCAAATCACCTCCCTAGTAGCTTTAATACATCTCCAACCAGATGTAATGACCCAGTGACGAGAACCTGTAAATCCACAATAAGCATAAATGTCATGGTTAGTAAGTCTTTTAAGGGTATGACTGGTTTAACATAAATAACTCCTCAGACAAGGATGAAATAGATGGCCATAATTATGCATTTCATGAAGGTGTGACCTGTTTTTGGAAAAACAGCATCCAGCAGGAAACTAGGAACGCGCTTCATTTTGGAGCCCTCAGTAAAAAATCTAATGGAAACAGGTAAGACTACAGTGCCGAAGTTTTATTTTTCAGTACTCTACCGAAATTACTACAACATCAATGTGAGGATACCACTCAATCAGTTGAGATACCCACAAAATAGGATTGTTTGGGATTAATTATAACATTTTAGATTCAATACCAGCCTTTTTTAGTCAAAACATAACCACAGTGAGTCGTAACCCATCTTTAGATGTAACTTAACCCCAAATGAGTTGTAACTGATCCCTATTTACTTGTAACTTTCGATACATTGCCTCCTTTGGTCTGGGAGTCTCACCATGGAAACGTCATAAAGTGTGGGGATCATTTGCCAATCTAATTTTTCATTCCACGTGCACTCCTAGTGAGGAGAAACAAAAGGCAGATTTCAAGGTTGCCTGTATATGTAAGCTTCAGGTACAGAGATATGCAATCCAATAGCAATTTAAGCAGACAATCTAGATACAAGGGGATTTACATGTATGTATGTGCATAACAGCATCAAGATGAAAGATGCTCATATAAACATATCAGAGTATTCTTACCTGAATCCTTAAGGAAGGGTTTTCTCTAGCACAATCCCTTAACCATTTAATTGTCAATGGCAGTGAAGGAAAAACTGCACTGCTAGTGAAATATCCATCTGCAAGAGAAACATCCTCATGAAGGAAGTTGTGAGATGGCAAGTTCTCCAAGGAATATATCTTGGAACTCTTGTCGAGCACAATATCTGCATGGCATATAAGAAGTACATCAGAGCATGCCTATTAGTTCAGCAGACATTTTCAGATGGATGTTTCACTAAACCAAAAAGAGTATTGGGTAAAATTTAGCTCATCCTAGACTTTATGACCTTGCTCATAACTTCCACTTCACATTACGTAGAAGGAGAAGGCACTGTTTTATCAACCTGAGATAAAGGCTTTAAGTAACGAGCATGATTCAATCATCTTTTCCGTTTTCTTTTTCTTTTTTTTTTTCCCTGAAGCTGGAATATCATGTTTATAATAACACTTTGTATTGTTCCTTGAACTAACAAATCAATGGACCCATGTGAATTAAAGTAACGAGCATGATTATTTATCAAAAAAAAAAAAAGTAACGAGCATGATTCAATCATCTTTTCCGTTTTTTTTTTTTTTTTTTCCTGAAGCTGGAATATCATGTTTATAATAACACTTTGAATTGTTCCTTGAACTAACAAATGAATGGACCTATGTGAATTCAGCCAATGTGATAGTTGAAACCTAAATATTATTAATTAAGGGACATCGATTTCCAGGACTCCAAACAGAATTCATTTCAGTGGTCTTTATTGAAGGACTAGCCGTACAATGAAAACATAAGCAACATGACATTGTTGGGCTATTTGGTTCGCTGGTAAAAATTTGATTGAATAACTATTCCATCCAACCCACCCCTCAAAAGAGGATAAGAGGTTTGGGTTGGAGAAGAAGGGATTAGGTTAATTTTTTTGTGTGCACAAGATAAGAAGGTATGTGTGCACAAGATAAGAAGGTTGGATTAATTTTCATTTGTCTAAAATATCATCCTCTCTACGTATACATATAAACACACATTTGTATATAATCCACTTATCTTGTTTGATTGTGTTGACGGAAATGGTAACTTTGTGGCGGCAATGGTTTGGTTGTAGGGGAATAAGTGTAGAGGTAGTGACTAGTGACACCGCCACGGTCCTGGTGGCGACATCACTGGGGTCGTGAAGACATCAAAAACGATGATTGTGGTTGCAGTGTAGCCATCAACAGAGCAGATGGTGGTGTTGATGGCAACAGTGGCAGAGGTGAGGTGGTAGAAGATTAAATTTGTCACGAGAGTATTTTTGCTTCCCCAAATGATTTAGTTGTTCTATGTTCTCAGCTTTAGCAAAAGGCCACGTAACCTACGGTGCGTGCAGGTCAATGGCTTGACCGCAGTACACCATAGGAAACCTGATTGAATACAACCTTCTATACACAGTTGTAATAATTATGAACTTCCACTTTGTTAAACAAACCAACATTAGTCACCAGTTCAAGGTATGCAGTAGCAAGTCCTCAACATAGGGTCCCCAGTGATAAAAAAAAAAAAAAGGAAACGACAAAAGCAAAACATGACCAATTAAATATACTAGCTTCTAAAAAGCAATTAAATGCAGTAGTTTACCTTTTCCATGAATTATGTTCTCCCATACTCTCTGGAGATTGTATTGCCATGATAAGTCGCTGGCAGGAATATCTAAAGGAATGACTGAGGCACCAGAAGTAACCCTGCTATAGGTCGAAATACTTGGAACAAAAATGGCTTTCGAAAAATGAGTACCTGGGCAGTAAATATCAAATGCTAAAATATCAATCTTCCAGAAAGTCCCTTAGAAGTGGAGAAACTATGGGTGATGTAGAACACAGGAGAAAGTACAAAAGGATAAATAAAAAGAGAAAAGAAAATAGGCAGGAGACAGATTGGGAATTCCATGGTGGTAGACCAGGTCGACTTCTTATTCATAATCTGGTTTCTATAAAACTAAGGTAAAGTTGTTTAAACCGTGTGCCTTCTAGGCATGTTTCCAAAACAGAGATGAAAGTCTATAGTCTGTACAGAAAAGAGGGACGAAAATAAGAACATTCTGCACCTGATCAGGCATTTCGCAGATGGCCCATTCCCAAGGCTTTAATTGTATGAGGTCATGTACCACAATATTTTTCTTTATGCCAACTTCGAGAAGAAATCTCACTAATCCATACCAGAAAAAGTCAAGAAAACTTTGGCCAGAATGACACCGATGACTTGACCCCCCGAGGAGTGACATGGTTCAGGTTCTATGTGTTGCAAGGATGTAAGAAAGACCAAAAAGGATGTGTACTAAGGTAGTGGGACAAAGCGACATTCGTCTGTTTACATAATGGATAAATAATGCTAGATAGAGTAAAATGGTGCACGGGAAAATGTGATGGATGACGAACAAAGGATTCACATCTTTGTCACACTGTAAGTCAAAAATGCCTTTAAGGAACTTGAATATTCATTGGATTTGCATACATGTAGGAAGAAGGATATCTTGAGGAAGAAAATTTTCAATATGACAACTTATTTGACTTAAGAGAAGCAATACCTGAGGATGCACATGTACTCACAAGCCGTGAAAAAAGAACTTGAGGGTCTCTAACATCCATGCAATTGAACAAAAGGATCTGAAAGGGACGAAGCCATGTCAATGAACGAATAACTGTGCAAGGAAACAGTGTAAAACTTTTACAGGGTGCTTAGGAGATATGATAATGGGATCAATGTATCTTGACCACAGAAAACTTAAAACAAGCCAGTTATGATATTGCATGTCTCTGTTCTTTATAGACTTTACCTGCTTCAACATTTTGCGGCATTCTTTCTCTTTCTCATGTTGGATGTAATCATTCTCCCAAATTTCCTCTTTATTGCTAACCTTGAAAGAAGAAAATGTCAATGATAGGTCCTTGTTCACTTTCACAGCATTAGAAAACCATCTGGCACATGCCTCCATACTCTCAGGACTGTGAGCTCCGTCTAGGTAGAAGGTCAAGTCCCCAAGAGAATTTTTAGTCCCTTCTGATGAATTGGAAGTTTTCGAAGCAGAGTCATGAACAATTTGAGCCCTTCCAGAAAGACATGCAGTAGAAAGTCCCCTTACAAACGGCTCTGGCAAATTGTCTTTGTTAATATCCTGATTTGGTGTTCAGGAAAAAGTATAGTTAACCAAGTACAACCATAGAGGAAATAATAAAACTTTATTTATAGATTGGATTAATAGCAACTTTTGGTCCTTAAAATATGCATTTTTTGTCCGTTGGGTCCTAAAGTATCAATTTTGTCAATTTGGTCCTTAAAATATTCAATTGGTATCAAAATGGTCCCTACATAGACGAACTGTCAAATTTTTGACGGAATGATCATATGTCAGGCACGTGATACCATCTAAAAGAATGAGACATGATCACTTCCATCAAAAAATTTAACGAATTGTCTGATTAAGAACCAAAGTAATACGAATTGAATATTTTAGGGACCAAATTGATAAAATTGATACTTTAAGAACCAAACTGACAAAAAATACATACTTTGTTATTAATCCTTATAAATTTGCTTAAAGATTCAAAATGATTAGCACTGCTTTACATTTTGGTAGAACAAGAAGATACTTTTTTTTTCTTCTTTAAGATAATATAGAAGTGGAAGAGAAAGAAAGTCCAGGATCTATAAAAGAAGAAAGCCATGAGTAAAGGACATCCTCAATTAATGGAATGAATGGTGAAAGTGGTCTTCGTGAGACGCTACTCCTCTTTTGGCTTATGCATCCACTACATGGTTGCATTTTACATGCCCAATACGAAGAACAATATAGTCTTCGTTGGAGACAATCTGAAACCCTAAAAGACCTCTCTTTCCTTAATCGGCCCACTTGATAGCATTGCAACGATCTCCTCCCAATTGTAGCGATGAATGCCACTTTTTAAATGGTGTGGCAATCATAGTTATCAAAATTGTGCGATTCAGCGATTCGATTCATATGATTCGGTTCGATACATGTACAAAACGATTTGAATCTTATATGAAAATCATTTTAAAGTTGAATCGCACCTGAATCATAGGATTCATATGATTCGATTTGTATCTCACGAATCGTACAATTCAATCACTTTTTTTTAAAATTCAAATTTTTTGCAAAACAATGTCGTTTTGTCCGCTAAACAATAAAACGACGTCATTTTGTTTAAAGAGGAACCCATACCCTAATAAAAACTCAACTTCTTTACTCGTTCTCTATCTCTAACATCGTCTAAAACTCGTCTAGCGTTGTCTAAGTTAAAGGTCACGGTTCACGTTCTCGCATCATTGGTTGATTTCTATTCTCAATTCTTTCGTGGATAGTTTATTAGATTCTAATTTTTTGTTTCAAAATGTAAGCCAGTATGTTTTCTCTCACTCAATTTTTTTATTTGTTCTTTTTTCACTTGTATTTGTAACATAATCTATATTGCGTGTCACTATTTTGATTCTTGAATAACCATGGTTGTTTAATAAAATTTTTTTTCAAGTTGTTGAATTTTAAAATGGTTAAGTAAAAGATAAAAATGAAACAAAACGCTAGCGTCTTTCTATTTAGGCAATTTGAGTATGTCAATTGGTTATTTTTAGAATGCAATAATATTCAATATTCTGTGTAGTATTATTTTTTATTTTTGTTCAAATTTTATGTTGAATCTTACGACTCACGTTTCTCAAATTTAAAATTCTGATTCATGTTACAAATCGCGATTTAACAACTATGGTGGCAATACTCTCTTCTTTTCTTTCATTTTCCTTTTCCCAGAAGTAGTGGTTAAAAAATTTGTGGCTTTTCTACTCTCTAGCAAGCCGTAATCAAATTTTTTAAAGTCTTGGTTCTTCTCTCTCACTCTCATACTTGGTGAATCACACGTACACACATATGAATAGAAGTAAGTAGATCTTACAATTGTCCTTTATAGAGTGAAAAAGATTTGTTTCAGCCACACAATCATTCTATGGTTCACAGAAAAAGGTTGAAAGTTTTTGTGCATTCACAAGCATGATGATTAACAAAATACGGACTCCTACTAAAAGATGAACGAGAATATAGTAAAAGAGTGAACAGAATTAACTAACATTTTGGAACATCTTTTCCCAGTTTCCTGTACTCTTAAGCCAACTTTTACAAAGAGCTACAGCAAGGCTAGCATTGATGAACTGGTGATCACCAGACAAGCCAAGCTTTACTCCATTTAACTTTTTACAGTCAAGTGGTGCCGCCACCTCCAAAGAAACCTACAATTGGAAAGAACAAATCAAATAACAAAACTTCAACCAATATACCCACATATATGCAATAGAATCAGTCTTCATTTACCTATATCTGTTACATTGCAAAAGATTATTTGATTTTGCGCTTGTCCATTTTAATCTCCACTTACCAGCTTCTGAATGTATACAATGTATGTAAGGGAGTACAAGTGAACGTGAAAAACTGGATTTGGACCGTGATACAATCTCCTTGACAGGAGAAATATTGTTACCCAGTTCTTTACTGGCCAATAAATATGAGCCTGCAAGGTATGGTGTCCTTCCATACAATATGATAAATGTAGCATCATGCCCAGGGAAGAAAATTGCAATCTCTACCAGCACTTGCTTTCAAGTGAAGAAAGATTACACTTATCATGTTCATTATGTGGTCTATGATCTAGCCTAGACTGTTAGGAAATTCACACGAAATTCCCAAACTTGTCAGAAACAACAATGGAGAAAACACACGCCAAAGAAAAATAAGCACACGCACAAGACAATATTTACGTGGTTCGGCAATTTGTCTACGTCCACGAAGCTGTAGGGGTTTCACTATTCTCAAGAATGATCACAGAGAGGGCAGCGGCCGTATAGAGTCAATCAAAACCTAATCACCCAAAAGAAACAGGTTTTATATGTCTTGCACCGGACTACAAACAAACAGGCCCAAAAAATAGTCGGCCCAAGCCTTCGTTCCATGGACAAAGCCTCAAAAAATTTTCATTCAAAACCACAACATTTTTCAGGTCGGGTCATCATCCGGATCAATATAAAAACCAGACTCCACAAAAAAAACCCAACATAGACGATATGTACTGAGGAAGGTAAACATACCCTTTGTTCTTGGGCCCGCTCCTGAAGAACATCCATCGCTTCAGAGAGTTGCGGTGCCGTGAATGCAGGAATTTCAGGCTTCAGGATCAGGGAAGACATCAATCCAATTCAGAAAATACTTGAAAATGAAAACTGCCAATATGGATATTGAAAACAGAAATTTTGCAATAAATTATCCATTGCTAAGGAAAATAGGTCCATACTCATGTGAGTTCACATAAGAGATTTGTACCTTGAAAATACCAGCCTTGTGTGAAGCAATCTGCCCTAGGGTGTCTCCTGCATTTTATTATGGTACACACCTCAGGTAAAATATGCAAATATCATCGATATTTCTATAGTATAACCATCATTGGAGGAAATAAAAAATTGGGAAGAGAAAGGAAAAAGAGGGGGGGGGGGGGGACAAAGGTGAAAAGAATGAATAAAATGTGACAAGACTCGGAGCTATTTACAAAAATGGAAATCTTCCACAAAATATCACAAATGTGCAAAAATGAAGTACTTAGGCGAAATAGCATATGAAAGTATAGCGGAAGAAGAAATGCACGTACCTAATGCTTCCATGTGATCCATACCTAGAGAAGTAATACCACAGACAACAGGTTCCTTGATCTGTGCAGTTTTTTTCAAACAAGTTTATAAGGGTCTCACTTAACAATATTTCACAATGCTTTCAAGAATAAAGAGAAGAACGGACTTTTCCTGGTTCCTATGTTTATCTCAAAACAATTTTATAATTAAGCCCCGTTAAAATTGGGAAGTCAACTAACACAACAACCATCAATAAAGGTGAATCTCTGAGAAGGTGCCTTACCACATTTGTTGAGTCCGTTGTACCCCCAAGACCAACTTCAATAATAGCAACATCCACCTGTGAAAAGAAAAAAAAAATTATTGATAGATCTATTAGAACAATAAAAAAATGAAAAACAGTAATTTTTATTAGAGTACAAGAACTTATTCTATTGTATAATAGAACAAAGAAACGAAAGAAAACATATATTTTGGTCAGAGTACAACAAAAGAAAGAAAAACAATATTTTGATGAGCATACAATATTGATATTCATATAATGAGTTGCAGACAATGCCACAATCAATGGACTCATCAATTATCAAATATGAGTTTATAACACAGTTTACGCATCAGAAGGTATCCCACTGGGTGCAACAAAATAGACCTGCTTAGTGGAATTGAGGAAAAGGTCAAAAAACTTTATCCGAACATAATAAATGCACACCATTTTTTTCATTCTCAAGATTTGTGACAATATGATAGTTCCTGGTTCTCACTTTCATCGATGAAAAATGAGGGCAATGAAGAAGCTTATTTCATTTAGTTCAAGTCAAGTTACTTTAAAGCAATCAGCCCACAAATTTTAATCAACTCTCAGACTTATTGGCTGTTATCTAAATTAAAAATTATGCACCAATATCTGCTGTTCTGAAGTAATGGCCCTATTGGATCAAAAAAAAAAAGAAGTAATGGCCCTAAATTTCTGAGTTTTGTTTTGTGATAGCTGAGGGAAAAGTTCAGTTAGCTCTTAAAAGTTACTTTGGCATAAAAAACAGAACTGCATGTCCTAGAGAAGCTCATGACCTTCTCCAATGAAATTCAGCCCACTAAAAAATCTCATATAAAAGGCTAAAATAAATATATTTTCTTGTATGAATGAGATGGAATGGATAGATTTTGTAAAATCCGGAAAATTTAAATTTTTGTTAAAAAGGGCAAAACAGTAATTAACTATTACGGTACCGGTTGAAAATCCGAATTTTTCTAGAACTCGGATGAAGAAACGAACCTCACCGCTGAATTCGTCTCGCGAATTTTAAATACCTAGTCAATTTTCATTGAATTTCAAGACAGTAAGATTTTTTGCGTTTTATGAGGCGATCGGATGTCACGTGACTAAAATAAACGCGATTAGATTTCATTCACAGAACTCGGAAAATAATTTAAAATTAGTTCAATAAAAATATACGAAACTTAACCCGGGACAAGATTGAATTGATTCGGGATCAAATTGGACCAATCAAAACGGGACGTGTGGCGCAATGAAGGTCAAACGTTTGGGAGTATAAAAAGGGGAAGAAAATCAGATTTTTTCCCCATTTTCTTCAGCCAACTTCCGTAAAAGAGAGAGAGAGAGAAAAACCAAAGTTTATTTTGGTTATAATCCCGGTAAATAAGGTGTAACGGTGTGGTATTGGGTTATGCGGTAAGAACCCCCGAATTTTGGGGCGTCACAGATTTGCAAACCCAGACCGAAGATCTTAATTGACCATCCATGTGCGCACTTCTAAAACAAAAGGGTAAGGTAACTGAATCTGCTGACACCTGCCTAACTATCTAATCCATATGCTAGAAAATATAATTAACTTAGACAGAAACCAACAAAAACAATAAAGATTTACCTTTTCACATACAAATATTATGAATGCCAATAGAGTAAGAAACTGGAATAGCGGAGGCATCGGCAAATCCTCTGTTACCTTTTCCTGCAAATTGAAAGGTCCAAAATCAACGCAATTCTATTAGAATATTGTTATTCTCACCATATATATATATAAAGATGATCCCAGTTAAAAGGACATGACAACTCTGCCTTCAATAATGCTTTTTACCTTGTGGGGCAAGAAATTACTGATGCTAGAAATCTCAATGCTAAATCACCAGGTTGACTAATACTAGAATCTCTCAATACTTAGCATACTTAATATCAAGATTGTTTTGTCCAGAAGTTTGGCATTTTCTAGAGGGTTACATAATCATGGCATCATTAATGGTTTTTCCTTTTCTATCTGAGTACAGACCTCATGGTGGTAGCAAACCTCATACTAAAACTAGCAAAACCAGATTAGTTACACTAGCAACTTAGATTACAGGGACTGAGACCAGAAGTCTACTATCCCAAATCTAATACAGACACCGGTGACAACTGGCATATACGGAAATGAAGCAGTCTTTACTCTTTACGCACCCAATTATCAGTAGATAAAAATATCCTAACCTTTTACAGAGCATATTTTTTATTCTAAGAGTGAAGCATGGTCTATGAGCATTCAAAGAATACCTTCAATCGTTCCCAACAATCCCAGAAATACAATAAAAATTTATCTTCAGATATGTCCAACCTACATAGATAATTCAAACACAGAGTAAATCAGCACAACGGAAAACTGCATTCAAATCAAACCAAGACAATTACAAGTGAACAGTTAATACTTGTACGATGGAAGAAGTTTAGGTGTTTAGTTTGCTTTGAAAGATCTGAACTTTCATATATGTCCTACTCATTTTCCTCTACTCAAAAAGACAACATTTTCATCTTGTCAGAGCATCCAATTCAAAACCAACTGACAATAGCTGAAGTGGGTCCTTGAGTCTATAAACCAACCGTGGATCTACTTAACTATTAAATGTGGGATAAATCTCTTCAGACCCTCCCTCATGTGCAACCCGGTCTCGCACGTGGGCTAATAAATCAAATTGAAACAGATAGACAAGTGGACACTGGACCTGAACTGAAACAGGCAAATAAATAGACCAACAAATTAAACGGGTTGAGAGAGGTAGCCCACCAACTACGCTGGCCAAGCTCTGATAACATGTTAGAGCATCCAACTCAAAATCAATTGGCAACAGTGGACTGGAGTGGCTCATTAAGTCTACAAACCAACCTTGGGTGTACTTAACTTTTCGATGGTGGAATAGCTCCCTTCAAACCTCTCAAAGAAAATTGCCAAGTACAAACATCCAATGGAATTCCAGGTCAGTTAACGTCCTTTAAGATATAGAAAAGAGGTTCAAGTCGATAAGATCATTGATAAGGGATCATTTTATAAGATTTTGGGATTTTTGAGTTTCTCAATAGCCAGAGATGTAAGATGTGAAATCATGAAGCAAGTAGACCTAATACACTCCTCAATAAATTGATGATTGCTACATCTAAAATACCAGTTCAGAGATGCCGATTAAGCCTCTTGATGGTTTCAAATAGAACTTAATCTCTCACAGAAATTATCATCTATATTGCTGCTGTTTGTTTGAAGAAAGAAAAAAGAGAAGGGAGGGGGGGGGGGAGGGAGAGAGAAAGAGAGAGAGAGAAGTATGTTCAGAAGCTAAGCAGTTAAAGAGGAAAATAGTTGCACACTAACCCATCCAGATGGAATCTTTCTCTCACATCAATTAGGTGAGGGGAAGTAAACAGTCCGGTTCTAAAACCACACTCGCGTAGTATTGCCTCACAGAATGTGCAAGTTGAACCCTGAAATATAAATTCTGTTAGAAGAAATGAAAGCGCTTGGGCTAATATATTCACCCATCCAAAAATATATTAAAGTTGACCCTCTAGTAGATACTGAAATTCAATTCAGTTATAAGAGGTTCCCAATTCAGCTAGATTGTATCAGTGATATTGATGATGTAAACACTAAAAGATAGAAATTGAAACAATTTATAACATGAGAGGTCTGATTATGACCTAAAGCTTGACCCAATTTTGCTAAGCATATGCAATTACGTAAAACTGGGAGAGTACCTTCCCTTTGGTTCCAGCAACATGGATAATTTTAAGGCCAGCAATACGTTCCTCCAAGCCCAGAATCTGTAAAAAAATTATGAAACACTGAAGACATGCCAAAGATACTTATTTGGATGCAATGCATAACAAGAGATCACCAAGGATGGATCATTTTTTAGCACTGTATGGATTGCCCAGGAGTTATTGCAAACTAGTTTTTTGAGTTAAGGAGAGAAGAAGATATAGGATGAGCTTAGAAAAAATTATACAAACAGGGTAGAGGGACTCTTTGTATATTGCAAACTTAAATTTATTCAGAAATACATATAAAGATAACAAATAAAATATAGCTGAATGTACGATTTCTGAAAAGCAAACTTTGCGAAAAGAAGATCAATGAAGATGAACAAATTGTAATTTGTGAATTGGGTCATAGTTTAGGAAAGAAAACTAGATAAAAATTTTGTGGATGACAATAAAACAATGATTGGTAGGTCCAAGTAAGAATGTTAATCATCAAGAATTAAATGGTACTTCCATCTATCCTAGTGAGGCACGCAAGAAGAAAGAGAGAGAGAATTTGCATTCAAGGGAAAGGCAAACACGTCAACTTCATGAGAAATAGATCAATGAGGACAGTTGAAAGCACCACTTGCCATCCTCATTCCAATAATTGGAAGCATCACATCACCACACAATATACACACATACGAGGAGAAGGACTACACGAAAAAAAGCGCAAACATATAGGCAAGATATAACCTGTGGCCATGGGACAAGAGATCATCTACATTTGCTATTGATATCAAAACCAAGCTACAAGATGATGGCAAAAGCTACAGTTCATTCTAACTCGCGGCTCCAATGTACCGACGGGTTCTCAGTTCTCACACAATACGAGACATACAATCTCAGTCTTAATCCGTACACAGTGGAATCCCCAGAAAACGGCCCTCTCAAGAGAATGATTTGCATGTCATGATCTATCAGTCAATCACTTATTACTTGTTTAAAGAAAATTGATAACCAAAACATTGAACACCCAGTAGAAAGTTAGTGGCCGCCTGTGGACATCAAAGGCTATGCAGGCATTGAACCTGTAAAAGTACCCTCACAGGTGGCCCATGGAGGAATCAAACTGTAGCTGTTATAAAGGACATATAGCATATTAATGCTAAAAATTATCTGCAAAAGGGTTCCATCTTTGTGGAATTACCAATTTCAAAGTTTTCAAAAGAATTGTCCTACATTGTCCTGGGTCTTTTTCATAGCCTCAAATAGAAAGGCAAGCTACTATCACCAAGAAACAGAGTATAGGAGCTTTGAATGCATTTTAATCTCATATAAAAGGACCTGATAACAAGAAGCAATATTTTAGCAGTGTTACCTTAATGTACATCAACATTCTATCCAATTTTTTGTATTTACCATCCACAGCTGATCTAGTTCCACGCTTCTGGCGAGTTATAAGAGAGGACAGCATTTCCATGGCAGTTTCATATGCAGATGAAAGAGGCAACTCTTGCAAGTTTTCTCCGATGATCGAATTGCTGTCCACCTTCTCCTCAATTTGAGTTGACATCTTTGTAAATCTAACACCTGTACACGAATCAAAACATGCAAACAGGAAACTCAGGGTTAATGATATCCATCTTACACATCAAAGGAAATGAAAACTTATGTGATACTGCGGTTCTCATAATTTTGCATTGATGAAAGTTATTGTGAAGAACTGGCATTCTAAAAGCTTCAGCTTTCAAAGATGGTGCACTAAAGGATCTATACCATCATAGCCCCCTCGCACGTGGACGTGGGTGGCGCACCAGTCATAAGGTGACATGTGGACCCCACTTGCTGCACTAGTGACCCCCAAGACAAGCGCAACGAGCCAGAATTCCACCTGACCAAGGAAGACCCTTAGCCTGTTGACTACTTGTGCACTTGGGTGCAATGTCCCCCCGGAACCAGGATGGGTGTCTGAGCATTGATTCACCTTGGGATACTCGCTCTGTATGCATTAACTGACGTAACGCATGACAGAGGACAAGCGACTATTCTATAGCCGTTACATCAACATCGAGGCCAACAACAGACCCCGCGAATGACGACAGAAGGCACGACCCTTGCTGATGTGGAACGACCGAGTGATGCCCCGAGGGGCATCTCAATGAATGCTCGGCACTTGGTCATAAATGCTCAGTGCATCTCACTCGATGATCAACGTGGTTCAATAAATGCTTGGCGGACATCATTGAATGCTCGGCTCCCAAAGCACTTATGAGACATCCCCAAGCGTACTAAATGCACGGCTCAAGGATGGGAAAGCCGTTGATATGACCGCCTCAAAAGATGATTTCAACTATAAGTTGTCAAACCTACCAGCTTAGTGTGATACACAAGTTTTCCAGTCATCATCTCTCGAGGTATAAATAGCCCAAAGAGTTGGACCCCAAGTACACACATTCAAAACTAGACCTACATTGTTCAATCCTCTTTGCCTTGAATGGTAACTGACTTAGGCTCAGAGCGAATACGCCGGACATGTCCCTGGCCCCCATTCTAGCCCCATTCCTTGTTTGTAGGAATCTCATCCTTGTTCATCCAAGTGTCACTATCTCAAACTATTGAGCAAGAATCGACCCATGCATATCCCATCCTCCCCCCCCCCCCCAAACACACACACAAAACAAAAAATGAGTAAGCTAAGCACATAAGCTAACATGCATGTATTGTTAGTATCAAGATAACATCCAAATTAAGACATAGGAACTGCCTGTTATGATGTCATGTTAACAACCAACTATTCTAAAAGCTTGTAACATCCACCAAATCCAAGACAGTAAAAGGGAATTCCAAATGAGCTTCAATCAGATGATGAACCAGAAGAAGGGAGCAAACAAAAACATAAGCCAAATTTGTAATATTGAAGAAACATCCAAAACAAGGGTTCCTCTCCCCAACCTAATTTTCTACTGCTATGCACTAGGTTTTCCATTCATTCCTCTTATCTTTCCTTAAACATGATAGAGGAAAACTCAACTATCAGAGAAATGTTATCTCTTGAGCGTTAGTTTGATAAGCCTCATTTCGATAATTTGATAAGGTCAACGTATCCGTATCGAATATCCTGTCAAATTCAATGCTCATCAAATATTCGAACATATGTACTGGATGCACATCACATAGATATCCCATAATAAACAAAATAACTGGGTACCTCACAGATACGCATAGAAGTACATAGAATTTTTTTTTCTTCTTTTAATCTTTACATTTTCAATTCACGGGCAAGACAACACAACTTTCACAACAATGGGTGACTCTTGAGTCTCGTCTACTATCAAAGTGGTGAAAAAGCATAAAATGAGTTAACTAAAACTTAAATCTTGACAACAAGAGTTTTTTAACCAAACCAACTAGTTAAATATTAACTACAATTACCTTAATAAATCATGCTTACTTTGTAGATACACTATAATAAGCCGATCTATACTTCTTTAAAAGTGAAATTATATTGTTGATTAAGAATCTATTGAAAATTACAACTATGAAGTCGTCGGATAACAAAAATATAAAATATGTTCTTCACAAACATATCCTGGCATATCCATATCCTATTTTGTTAGTGAATGACTCCTCGATGTATAAGTGTCATCAGGATCTGGGCTAGAACATAATTTGATGAATAAAACTTTCAGAAAAAAAAAAAACTGGACACAGATCTGAACACTCCAGCACACTAAGTTATGTTATTAAGAAAATATAGGGCATAACAGACCAACAATAACCAGGGACCCCAGCCCCCTTCGTATTTCAGTTAAAGCACATAGTTATAACACCATTCTCCTTCAAGGAGTCTGATAAAATTCACAACAAATTCTAGAGAGAGAATGCTCTTTCATTTATTCCTAATGCATAAGAAAAAATAATCATCACAACACAGATAAAAAGGGTGATGAAGTGTGCGTCGAGATCAGGTTTACCTTTCTGCCTAATGTTTGCCTGGGAACGCAGCCTTTTGGTTGCCGTGAGAAGAGGGACATCTAGACAAGCGGGCAGGCATGAAGTAGTCCATTTTGGCGTAGAGGAATATTGATGTCCCCTCTGATGGAACAGTGATACGCCAAATATTCCCTCTCGGTGGTAAATGTTAGTGCAACCAAGCATCAGGTGAAATTAATCCTGCAAACCACAGTCGATGCCAATTAACACAGTGAAGCAGAGGTTCTGCCAAGAAAATTGTGGATGACAACTTGAGTATGCCTGAAAACTGAGACCCATTAAGCTATAATGTGTATTAGGTGAATCCATATTCCCTGAAAACAAAATACTTCAAGGAGAGGGGGAGGGTGAGAGAGAATTAACACAGTGAAGTAAAGAGGTTTCTGCAACTAATTTGTGGATGAAAACTTGAGTATGCCTGGAAAATCAACACCCATTAACGTCTAAGGTGTATTAGGTGAAGTCATATTTCCCTAAAACAAAATGCCTCAAATAGATCCGCATCTCCAACCAAGAAGAATACTGGGGAACAGACGCAACACCCACCAAGAATGAGAGAGAGTAGAAGAGAAGAAGAGACTTGAACGAGAGTATTCAAGTTTGTACCTAAAATCAACTTGGCAAATGCCGGATCATCACTATACAAGCCCATATATACCGCCTTGACGCTGAATTCGGTCCGTCTCTGTCGGTCAAAGGATATCAGTGTCTGAAATGTCTTATGACTAGGGGTAGACACTGCTGAAGGTACCGTGCCGTGATTGATTTATGATTTCGAGAGACATGTTTGTCATTGGACAAGGATGAGTACGTTAAAATAAATTTACTGAAATGTGTAATTTTGAGAAATGTTGATAAATTATTGAAAATTATATATTTTTTATATTATGAATATAAATAATTGTGGTCATGGCTGTGGTAAAGTGGCAACGGCTTTGCTAAACAATGACACCGACACACTCGATTTTGGGGTTTATCATTTTATGGGTGTCCACTGTCCACAAACAGCTGCTTTTTTTTTTTTTTTAAATAAAATATTTTGGGGTCAGAAACTTTAGATACCGGAAAATAAGATCAGATGTGTATAATCTTATTTTGTATGCTTATATGCAGAGAAATTACTTTTGTAACTCAAACCTTTAATGCTTAAATCTCAATAAAAATAATTTATTATTACGCCAAATAAATACTAAATAAAAATATTATATGAATCTAATCTGACTATGTAACACAGATTGTGACAACTAAAATAGCTGATTTTTTTTAATTCAAAAAATAATTGAAATTTACTATTACAATTCATTAATCTCCAAATTAAGAGTTAATTACTTAATTATACTATGGATCCCCAAAGTATAAGATTTATCTTATTTTAATTCTCAATATTTTAATTTTTAAACAAATAATATTTAAATTATTAATAATTTTTTATCATATGAATAAAAAAATTATTTGAATAACTCTGGGCCGAATTGTGGATGACGTAAGGTTGTCATATCAACTGCTTTGCCACATATTCCTTGGTTTGCCACGTGACCACTAGCAACACCTGTCTCAATTTTATAGGTTACCACAAGAAGTTATTAAAGTAAGTAAATACAAAACCGATTATACATAATTATTATAAATAAGTTAGGGTTAATAGCATTTTTAGTTTCTAAAGTTCATATTTTTTGTCAATTTAGTCCTTAATCTATCAATTTTTATCAATTTGATCCCTAAAATATTCAATTCGTATCATTTTGATCTCCACATAAACGGATCGTTATGTTCTTGACAAAATTATCACTTGATGAGTATGTGATATAGTTTTAAAAAATAAGTGGTCGTTTTCGTAAAAAAATTGAATGGTCTGTTTATGTGGGGACCAAAATAACACGAATTGAATATTTTAGAGACCAAACTAATAAAATTAATACAATAAAAACTAAACAGGCCAAAAATACTATTAGCTCAATAAGTTATTTACAAGTTAAGCGCACTTTAATACAACAAAACTAAAAAAATGACACGAAATTAACACAACACTACAAATTTTTTGTTTCAACCGTCAGAGATGTTTGAATCAACTTATATACATCTCAATTAATTTCTATTCTAATCTTGTGAAAGACAAATTATCCAGACTACTAATTGCAAACTCTAGGTAGATGATTAGTTAGGCCAAAATAAAAAAGTAAAACAACAAAATAATTGAAGTTTGACCATTTTCTCATGTAGCCAAAGCAAACAACTTGATATAAAATATGGTGGGTGCCCATGTTGATAAGTTTTCAGATCCGTAAATATTGGAATGAGAAAGCATGACAATCACGCCAAGCACCGTGGCATCTCTCCTTATAATAAATTCTCCGACGTGTCGTGAAACACTTAAAGTTAAAGGTAAAATTAGTGTACAATTATATTGTCTATTGAAATTTAATTTAATAATTTAAACGATCAAATTAAAATATCAAACTACACTAATTAAAGCTAAAAGATGTTGTGTCAATTATAGTTTAGTCCATTGTTTAATTTTTTAGTTTTATTATAATAGATAATATAATTATATACTAACTATAATTTTTTTTTAAAAAAAATAGATTTTTTATTTTTATTTTATTTCTATAAATGACATAATAGAATATAAATTCTATATGTAAAATTCATGTTCTATTATGAATGACTTAGGCCCCTTGTTCGATTTTTTAATTTTATTCCAATAGATAGCATAATTGTATACTAATTACGATTTTTTAAGAAAAAATTAAATTTTTATTTTTAATTTTATTTTAATAAATGATTCAATAGAACATGAATTTTGGTTCAAAAATTTAAAATATTTGATATTCTATCTTTGATAGGAGTATTTTTTGTCTAAGTACAATATTTTAAACTTAAGAGGTCAAAATATTATATATCTACAAATTTTAAAGGGTCTAAGTATAATTTAATAACTGACATATTTAGAGTATGAGTCTAAATATTATGTACGTACAAATTTCAGAGGATTTGTGTGTAATATTTTAAATATCAATGGGTCTGAGTGATTAAGTAATAAACTTTAAGGGGTCTAGGTGTAATTCTCCCTATTATTTATTATATTTATTATTTTTTTTGGAGTGTTTTATTATTTTGTGGCAAAAGTGGTAAAAATATACATAAAAATAATAAATCATTCACAAAAATTATGAACTTCTTTTCGTAAAATAATCTAATAAAATTATTAAAACATTCATTAAAATAGTAAAATTTAGGGATATAATACCAATTTTTTGTTGATAGCACGCACAGTCAAGTCCTATTGTTTAAGGTAAAGTGGCGGTCTGACAATACTTAGAGTGTGTTTGAAATGACTTAAAAAAAAACACTTGTAAAATTTTTAACTTATCATAAGTATTTTTTTTTTAAAAAAGTAATGTTTGGGATAACTTCTCAAAAACACTTTTAAATAAGTAAAAGTAATATTAACACTTAAATAAGTTAATAAGTAAAAGTAAAAAAAAATAATATTTTTTTTTTATAAAACACTTTTTTTTCACGATCAGCACCCCTGCCTCTCCGACATCCACGACACCCCCTACCTCTTCGACATCCACAGACGACACCAATCACCTCGCTGATCATCGACGACGCTCGACTAAAGTTCAATTGAAAGAGTGGGAATCTGATAACCATCAACTTCAATTTTAACCTCTGACGATTTAGGATCAACGAGCCAAAATTGAATACTATGAGTCACTCCGAGCCCAAACAGATGATTCTTCACATCAATAAGCTTCCCAAAAAAGCTGTTAGATCGAAATCGTAGGTTGGTAAATCAAAAGCCCCAATCAAAACCACTAGTTCCCAAAACAGTGGATTAATTTCACCAGTGAAGATAATCGAAAATGGCACCACCGATCCAACCAAAGATCCATCGATTCTCACTAGAATTTTCCAGTAAGCTTTGTAGCCTCGTCAGGTGGTCAAGTTGTTCATTTCTATATATAAATCTGGCGGATTTGAATACCAACACTCATCATCTCCATGAAATGACACATAAATTTCAATTACAGTTTTCCTAATAAGGTTTTGATTATGAGGAAGTTGAGATGAAGACATGCTAACGACGTGAGCTTGGTAATCGAGGAAAGTAAAGTTGACATGGTAAACGTCAGTGTAAACAACGTTTTGAGGTCCATGTTCAGTGACTGATGCCACATATAATTTTAATTAAATATTTTAATTTAAGCCTTTTTTAATTTTAAATATCCAAACAATACTTATTTAAGGAAAATATTTTTCTTATAAGTATTTTTGATAAACACTTATTGAAAAAGTATTTATGGAATTTCATAAGCAATTTCAAATGCACTCTTAATATGCGGATCACTTGTCGGAAATAATTCTAAATTCCTTTTACTACAATGTGGGAATCAATGTCCAAAGTATACTAATTTCTAGAGTCTGATTGTCGTACTGAAAAATAAAAAATAAAAATGATACCGTATCATTTATCAATATTTTGAGTATTTATATCATTTTTTGAGCAAAGTTTGTTAACTTTTAAGTTTCATTTACCATTTTTTTGTTTTTTTTGCAGAATTTATCACTTTTTTGAATAAGGCTTACTACTTTTAGGAGCGTTTTTTCTTTTCGGTATGAAATTAAAAATTTTATTTTTTGGTTCCGTAATATTTTTCAACTTTTTTGACATAGTCCTACTTTTAATCGGACTAGGTAAAATCCAATCCTTTTTATTTCTGTTTGCGGGTTATTTCACCTATAATCATCCTGGCCACCCACTTGAAAGGGTGCAGACAGCATAGATTCAAATCCCTCGACTTCAAAGCACATCGGACAAAAAATCAATTGTCAAACCCAACATCTACATGAGAGGCCAAACACTTCTTTTGTGTCTGGTCTTTTAATAGAAATTATGAGAATCATGCAATCTTCTGCTTGTGTGAAGTTTGAACTTGTACGACATATGATGAACTTTTTTTCGGTGGTGAAGAAAAAATTTGATACCATACAATTATTTATAATTTTTGTAAGTATTTTTATAATTTTTGTAAATATTTTCATTATTGTTATAAAAATATTCATTAAAATTAAAAAATTTAGAGTTATGATACCAATTTTTTTTTTGGTACCGTAATCTGCTCCGCAAATTACAGATAATCAACTTAATTGTTCTAATAGGTCTCAAAAACAACTTACTTTTTCACTCATCTTTTTCACTTTTAACAAAATTTATATTGACTCATTAATGGATAATTTGCATCATAATTCTAAAATTTATTATTTTAATGAGTATTTTTTTTATCATTTTTGTGAATTATTTTATAAATAAAAATTTATCACTTTTATGAATAATTTACATATATAATTATAATTTATCATCACCGTCATAATCACTTTTATGTTTTTATCATTACCATTACTCTTTACGCACGCAATAATTTTGTAACAGTTTCATATATAACACTAAAAAAATTAATAATTTTCATTTTCAAAGAAGTCTAGATCATCTCATTAATGTATATTCATAAAATGAACATGACTAATTTAAAAAATCAAAGCCAATATTTACCTAGTCATTGATTTGCTCAGGAGTAATTGTTCAAGAGATATGGTGTACTTAATCCATTTTATGCTTTATTGACATTTGATAGTAGATAATACTCTAAAAAAAAATTATTTATTTTTTTTATGTCTAAATATTAAAATAAAATATTCTACATATTGCTCCGTGTATTCACCTCCACATCCGAAGAATATTCATTATGGTTGTGTCCACTACGTATCTAAATAATATATTTATTAAATATGTGGTACGTGTTTTAACAAAATATCTGTGTTTCATGAGTGAGCGTCGAGTGTTACCGTCGCGGGTCTTGACCGGTTGGCAAAATATCCGACTTCCCAGTTCCCAACAGGGAGGTTTACTTGTAGGCTTGAGGAGGATGCCCAGCTACATACTGGGACCAACACCTCCCCACCCCCCAACAAAAAAAAAAACAAAACTTTCTTCCTTTCTTTCCTCAAAAATAAAAGAAAAAGGAAAACAAGACAACCCACAAGTAGTAGTAGGCTACAGATATATTCTGAAGAAAAAGGGGGATATGGCTTGAGTCCTCTTTGTTGCTCAGACAGACTGTCAGAAAAAACCCTAATGGGGAATCATCCAGTCACCACACTGCAGATTTTATGAGCATCTATTTATAGAACCCAACAGCTAAGAACAAGAGACTTAGATTACTCTAATGGAGCAATGTCATCAACCAACAATGCTCAAGAATAAAACACATCAAAGCTGGCCAAACATGGAGAAAATAAAAGGTGCAACCTGACAGGAATAGCTAGGACAGCCTGTTACCCAACAGCAGCTCTTGTACAATCAGGTGATGAAAAATTGACAGACAGGGTGTGTCCAGCAGGAGGAAAAAAACATAAAGGAAATCCGATTTCAGATCAAAATCAAGTATGTCTAATGTTGATATGAGCACCAATGAGAGGCCCAATATTTCCATTTAAAACAGCATTTAAGTCAGGGAGTTGGATGCCAGTTTTCACATCTTGTACGAGTTTGTTTGGGTGAAACACATACCTTCGAATCTCTAGTTGCTGAATATTGGTAATGTCGTCTCTCTTGATGTCCGTCACGTTGGAAATTCCTTGATCTTTCAAAATAATGAGAAGTTTGGACTTCAAGCGATTGAGGGCCTTGATTTTATTTGCAAAGCGGCTCCTTTCACCTAAAAATATAAAATTGATTTTTATCATAGAAATTATCAAGAAATCGCAAAGCAGAGAGGGGCAAGCAGTTTCTGGAAATGCAATGAAAATTTTGAAATAATACACCTGATTACAAGTCGAACATCATCTAAATTCGGAAAAGAAAGTGGTGATTGCACAAGCTTGAGAAATGTCAAAAATAGTTGGTTTAACTGAAAAACCAGAAAAACATTTTCTTCCAACAAACCTAACACATATTTTGACATGATGGAAGACAAAAGTTGTTGAAGATCACAAGTCAGTTTGATGCCACATTGAAAAAGGAAATAAAGGAGTTAGAACAACTTAAAACTGTTCAACTCCAAGAAACTTGAATACAGAATCATTAGAAGTTATTCTTTGATCATTTTGCTTCCTAACATATCCCCACATACTGTTCGTAGCACCAGCCATCTGTCACCAAATATGTGGCAGCTTGCTGTGAATGCAATATGTGCGTGTGTGTGTCTGGGTCTCTGCTGTGTGCATGTCACCTAAATGTGTATGTTCAGCAGCATTCATCATTAGAAACTCAGGTTTGATATATGTAGGCACATTAAGTAAAATACAGAACAATGAGCAAAAAAATATGCAACCATGCAACTCTATTCTGAACACAGTCAATTACCAGTTGATTGGACTTTTAAGCCAGTCGGAATATGATGAATGTGAACAGCAGGCTCAAGTGGGCCTTGCTCCTGTTCACAACATGGGGGGAGTGAGATCATCAAATCTTTGTCATCAATTATTAGGTCAGGAGCTGATTCGAGGAATAGAGGCATAACATCCACAGCAGCCAAGCCAGCCTGCAAAGTGTTAAAACTGTTAATATTAGAAGCAACTACCGAAGCAATATATCACTCTTCAGTCTTCAGCCCAGAAAAAATAATACTCAATTGTACGAACATGTTACATTTCAATCAGCCATCTAAACCCACAATGTAAAGGTAACTTCGACGATTAGAGTGGTTGGACTTAGAAAAAGAAAGTACAGACAACTATCATGCTCGAACTGAATAAAGACGATCTTAATTTAGTAACAGAAAAACACAACATTCCATGTCCCAGGCTTGACATGTTTGACTCCATTTCATCAGAGCTTCTACATGCTTGAATTGGTAATAGGAAAACACCACCAGAGCATTTTTTTGTGGGTTCTTTGGATTCAAAGTCCATTCACTTCTGTTCCCCCATAAAGTTAGTTGCGTATACCGCTGGTGCTTTGTGCAAAAGAAAAAAATAAATAACTGCCAGTGGTTTGTAGACAGTTTCATTCATGTTAGTCTCTCCACAAGCAAAAGGGGCTGGACTGAGCGACAATGCCAGATAACTTCATATCCATTGGTTGGCCCATTTACCATTAGGACAAGTGGTCGTATAACTAGGTGCACTCCAAGATGTCTCAAGGAAACAATGCAAAAAACCTCCAAAAGGAGAAGTCTCAACAATGCATAAAAGAAGAGCACCACATGAATACAGATCTAAGAGGAACCCTATTTAATCTAGCCTCGGCAGCTCCTCATCTTCAATCACTGTTCTGTGGCACTCCAACACATAACAGAGAGAACATAACAAAGCCATTTTCAAAATTACATTACTCAGCTTTAGTGTTTATTACTCAACAAACTGTTGAAGAGCATTCTATAATCTTGACCAAGTCTCCACTTTATACCTGATTAAGAAAATTGATGGATTCATGGTTTGTGAAAATTAAGAGGACAATCCTAACTTGACGTTGGAGTTTTAATATATACAATGTATCCACCTCAGAAGTCAGAACCACTAAGTTCTGTCCTTATGTTGGGTAAATAACTTCAAAGGTTTATCTTATTTTCAGATATTTTGAGAGTTTTGCCTCATTTTTTAAGAAAAAGTCTTAAATCATTTGCCAGATGCATTGTTCATGGACATAATATTTTTTTCTTTTTGTTATGATGTTTCGAGTTCAAACCAAAGTGCAATATAAATTTTATTATCTTTTCAACAGACAGGTCAAGTCTTGTGATATTTATTCAAGCCAAATTTACCCATTTTTGCATTCATGCAGGTGAAGAATGCTGGGAGCCTGGGACAAGTGAACTTCAGTGACAAACCTGTGATCATAATCGTACTTGATGCATTGCATGAGCTTTGCTTAATGGAACTTGAAGGATTAAAATAAGGATTGTACATGAACAGGCTCAGGCCAAAGGAAACTAATAGTAGCAGTGCGAGGAACAAAAAAGGTCCTTTCACAAAAAAGAATAAACTCATAATTATAAGAGGTTAGTTAATTCATAAGCAGAAGTTGATTCTTGCAATATAAGAATCTTCATCATTTTAGGCTAGAAGGGGACTGCTATGCATACCTCAGGGAGAAGACAACCATTTAGTGAACTTCTAGTCATGCGATGAACACCTCTTTCCCCAGAAAGATAGCCATAGGCATACTTAGTTTCAAACTCAATCGTTGCAGACTTGATACCACCATTCTTTGAAAGACATTTCTCAACTACTCTTCCTCCATAACCTTGCTTTTCAGCCCACCTTGTGTACATTCTTACAAGCTGTTCTGCCCATATCTGGGTTTGAACATTTGTGAATCATTCAGGAGCGAGATAAAGAAAGAAGGAAATACTACAGCAAATCATATACAGATGTACACTCAAATCATCACATCAAAGGCTTATCCTAACTATATCAAGCTAAATAAAAGCTCCAAAAGCTTCAACAAGATTATTGAGTGAATGGCATTTGTCCAGTGATTAGCCTGCATCAATATATTAGAAAGCAGGTGAGCATTGACTTCCACCAACGAGAGTACTTGCAAGAGTTGTTATTGAACTTTCTAGAATAATAAGATGTGGTTAGCTTATAATTTCAAGGCATAAATCTCAAACAATGCAAAGAAGACCGGTTTAAGAACTTCTGCAAGAATATGACAGTCCTGAAAGTGTACTGAGATGAAATGGCCTGTTTTTATGCAAATCTATCTTCAACTCCCAGATTAAGTTTAGGTTCTCTATCAGCGTTAATGATAGGGACAGATAAGTACAATCCAGCAGTAAATTGAATGTTAGTTCATCAAAATGAGAAATTAGTAAGGCAAATAAATGAACGTCGCTATTAGCCAAGAAGAAGCTCAGACCAAGTCACTCGGGAATTAGCCCATAAGAAGGATCAACATATATCCTTTCGATACGCAGTTTGAAAAGGAAACTTCACTGTGGAAAATATTTCATGAAATGTTTGCCAAAGGGTACATAATACTACAAATTGATATTCTTGAAAGGGGCAGTTGAAACATTTTGTAAGAAAAATAATTGCATGGAAAGGATAGAGCTACCTATAATTGCCCTCTAACAAAGCTTGGATTCCAAGAACAAGCAAGGGTGAGATTTGTGTATCTGTACTGAAACTTTTACTTAAGCACAATTCCGAGCCTCCCAATATCTTGACGCCGTTACGCATTTCATCTCAAATTACATGGACAATTATAATGACCTACAATTTTATGGAAGCATGCTATGAGTCAAAGTTATATGGTCTAGAATGAACTTTTATCATTGTAAGCAAAATCTGGACCACATCCATTAGTTCCCATAACATCCTTCCACAAGCATAACAACCACACTTAAAAGCATAACATAATTGATAATCCTCAAACCTCAGAGTAAATGCCTTCAGAACCAGATTCAATTATAATGCATGCTCCCTCCATGTCATATGGCTCCTTCAGAAGTTTTGATATCTCATACTTATCCAAGAACTTGCTCACATCTACAGATGCAGCATACGCCTGTTTAAAGAGCCCATAACTTATCGCATCCATCTCCGCCAGCTCGGTTATCAGCTTAGCTTCTTCAGCCTGCACAAATTAGCACATGTAATTAAATATAATATCGTGAAATATAGCCTTCACTTCACCAGCAAAAGTTTTTCAAGCAATAAGCAAATATTGAAGCAGTTCCTCTCCACAAATGAAGTGAGAACAATACAAAATGCTTGTGGATGGAGGCTAGGTGGGCAAAAATGATAGTTATCATAAAGGAAGCAAGTATCAAACCAAAATAGAATACCATATATTTGGCCCAATCTAACAAAACATGAGCATCCCAACAGCCGACTTTGTAATGTAAACTGGTGAAATAAATTGTCCTTGTGTAAAGGCCACCATTAACCTTAAGATGCTTAGCAAAGTACCTTAAATTTAAGGTCTTTGAGAGCATCAACCATCTTAGCACTGTCAGCTAACTTGACAAGGATTTCGTTTGACTTGGTAAGGTCATCCCACAAGCTATATTGATGTATTATTTCTTCCTGCTTGACGCATCTTGCTTCTTCGAGTTCCAATGCCATTGGGGCCAACATCTCAGCACGTAGAACAGAATCTTCAATCTTCTTTCTTAATGAAAACATTCCTAAAGCAAATCCAACCATCAACATCATTGAACAATCAGAAATACTATATTACAGCACAAACTTCAAAAATATGATTCATCATTGAAGAGCTATAGAGAACTAAGTAATCATGTGTATGATTGAATGAATAAAACTATAAGCCATCATCAGGTCATGTAGGCAAGGATCAAAATTTCGTTTCGAAACGGTCGAAACGTTTCCGTTTTTAAGGAGACCAAAACGAATCAGTCATGGAATCAAAATTCTAATACTTCGACGTGTTTCATAATGTTTTGAAGTGTTTTGTAATATTTCAATGTATCTGGACAATTATTTTAGAATGTTTCAAGATAATTTGGTATAATTTGACCAAGGTTTTGAAAAATAATGCTTAAATTTTTTATTTTTTTCATTCTATTTCCGAAACGGGTCAAAACATTTCCGAAACACGTTGAAACATTCCTGTTTCTTAGATGACCAAAACAATTTACCAAAACGAAATTTTGATCCTTGCATGTAGGCACCACGAAATTGATAACCAGTCTTCAGATTTCACATTTGCACCTGCAAAAAGAACTAAGAACAAGAACCAGAATATATTATCCTGACCATCTGAATTAGCATTAACAGATCAAAGCATAACCATCAAGGTTTTACCCTCAAATATTATTTATGACCAGGGTTCCATTCATTCACCTTCACACCACCTGAGAGAGAGAGGGTATTGCCTAGCACAGTCCCGTTAAGTAGCACTAGATAGGTAAATTGGATGCAGACCTCCCCCATTAAACATATTTGCACAAAGTGGTTGCTCTCAGGCTTGAATCTTGTCCTCACAGCCTCCCACAAGATGATGAAGAATATTCAAATGATGAAATGGTGGAAGCTGTGGTCGTGAGAAGATTATACTTTTACAAACATGTCTTGGCATAATACAATGTCTAACATATTTTCCATTTGCTCACAGGCAGTAGGTAAAGATGGATAAATAGACATGGGTTTCACCTATTCATTCCTCGCCGTGGAATAGCATTGAAGCTGCTTAGCAAGGGCATTTATGGAACCTCACTACCACCAGAGCACTTAGGTCACAATAGTGTCATCACAAGAGGAAAATTTAATTCACTCAATGATAAGAGGAGAGAGACTATGAGTTAATGACACATATGTGAGGAGAATTTCTTTTTTAGAATGGTAGGAAACCTCAAAAGAGTATAGAAATGTAAATGTAACTGATTAAATGTAATAAATTTAAACAAGGGTCGTTACTCACTTTAATCACTTTTCACAGGCATATATACAAAATGCATCCCTACATGTAAAAAACTACAAAAAAAAATTAATTTTAGTGAAACTAAGAAACCTTTAACCCAAAGGGTAGGGTCATACAAACATCAAGCTCTGCATTTCGGCATTACAAGCTGCATGACCAGCTGTATGCTGTGTCAATTAGGTCTTTTCTCACTCCCATTCCACATTCCTTTAGACTTTTCCTTACTATTTTTACTTGATAACGCCTCTAACTTGAACCCCAGTAGCATCTCCATGGGAAGGCCAGTACCAGTATCCATTCATAAAATTGAGTGTCACTATCTATTTTTGCAATAACTATTAAGTTCCAATATCATAATACAATCTCAAGAAATATTTTATGAATTCAAACTCACAAAGGCAAAGAATTCAGGGTTTACGAAATGATATAATTCTTAGGCTAAAAACTCGCCTCAACTATGACTGCCATTGATTTGTGCAAAGAATGTCAAAAGTTGGGTCTGGTACCAGACTTTCATTAACGGGTATCAAAGTAGGTGTAGGCTTTTCAGGCCAACAATTTGACAAAGTGATTGCTACAAAATTATGATACCCTCATTAATCCAAACAAATGTGCATTCAAGTATTGAATTCACTTTGCATGAATATCCATTTGCAGGAATATATGGTCCTACATAACGACCTCCCAAACAAAAGGGGGAGCAATCTTCGTGAAGATTATTCAATAGGCCAAATAGAATAAAATACCAACAGCTAGAAATGTCGGTTCAGACAAATCTCCATTATTTGAAACTGAATCCCACATATTTGAACACCCAACTTCATTCCCCTAAGAAATAACCATGTTCCTGTTTAAACCTCAAAACACTCATTTTGGGCTAATTTTCTACAAACTTTGACACCCTGAGAGAGAGAGAGAGAGAACTGATTAAAGAAGGGTTCTATGATTTTACATACCCTGACGAACACAGTAGGCAAAATAAGCGCATACAAATACATATAGACATATTTGTATGTATATGCATAGATAGATAGATAGAGAGCGAGAGAGAGTATGGGGACAAACCCAGTTCTTTGTAGAACTTGTTCTCGTCATCTATGGTCTGAGAAGCTCGAATTGTTGAAGCTACTGGGTGATAATTTAACCTGCATCTTCTTGAAGCTTTCCATTTTGTGCTAAATGGATTAGGTGAACTAGCAGCCGCCATTTTTGCCCTATGTGAAAGAGTATACCTTATAGTCTGTTATTAAACAACGGAAAGAATCGGTTTGTTAGTTAATCCTGCTCATTCCTCGCAAATGTTGTAGCCGTTGACACAGGGCTCCGGTGTCGGAACATTTTGGGTGGCAATCCTATGTGCACGTGCACCTTATTTGTTATTAGAGGATGATGAGCACGTGATTGGAGTTGTTCATCTGATAAAAATTTATTTTGAGTTAATCACAAATTACATCCCGAAAGATAATTTAAATCTCAATTTACACTCTTAAAGTTTAAAAATATCATTTTACACTCTAAAAAATATAAATTTATATCAATGTGCATCAGGAGTTAACTGCCATTCATTTTTTCGTTAAAAAGTTCGAATTAATTGTAAATTACACCTTCAAATTTAAATATTTTATATTTATGATCCGAAAAAAATTTCATTCATTAATACTCGTTAAATATCTCTCAATTTTGACGTATCATAATATTTTTGTGTCGTGTTATTTTATGTCATGTTATATTATTTTTATGTGGTATTCAAGTCAATAAAAATTATTTTTCACACAAAAAATATTTTTTTGTCGAGTTAATTGCATTGTGTCGTATATTTCACATTTATAAAAAATACTTATTATTTGCCTACAATACTCAAATAGATATTTTTTGTTTAAAATTAGACACGACATGACACAATTAAGAGTTATTTAAAGAGCATTAATAAATGTAATTTTTTATTATCATAAATGTAAAATATTTAAACTTTAAGAGTGTAATTTATAATTAGTCTAAATTTTTTTAACGGCAAAATAGACAACGATCAGCTCCAAGTTTACATTAATATAAATTTATGTCTTTTAGAGTACAAATTAATATTTTTAAACTTAGAAGGTGTAATTTGATATTCGAGTGATCTTTTGATGTACAATTGAGATTAACCCATTTATTTTTATTTTTTTACTCTAAATAGTATTTAAGTATAAGCTCCAAGCACTTTTTTTTAAAAAAAATTCATTTCAAAATTCATTTTATCTTTATTTAAATAAATAAAAAAAATTAATAATATTTATATAAAATGTACATTTCAATATTCAAATAAATTCAAATCTTTTATTTTTGATATTTCAAAATTCAAATGAACACAAAATTAAATACGCACTTACAACAATAAAGACAAAGAATATGCATACACATATGCCATTTGAACAAAATTCAATATCACTATCGTGAGACCGTGAAAATACCTCAATGTCGTTGTCCCAAGACAACAACAAACATTAATTTCATTACCTTAAAAAAATCATTCATAGTTTTGATGGATTCAAGAACAAATGCTGATGGTTTGGTGCGGCTCATGTTGATGATCCATGTTGGCAATGTTTGTTGGTTTTACTGATAGTGAACCTATTCCATGGTGAATTGAAAGAAGAGAGATGAGAAAGAATAACTGAAAGATAGGATTGCAAAAAATAGGTGCAATTTTTTTCATAAGATTCATCACCATTGTAGCAAATATCAGCCAGTTTATCGATCTCTAGACAGTTCTCTAATGAATTCTCCTTCAACATGTATACATATTTTCCTAATATTGACAGGATTTAATCCATACCACCCAAGCTTGAATTCAGATGTGCACTTAAAGAAACTCTGCAAACTGGGGAGCCTCCAGGTCAAGTTCTTGTCTCATGACACAGGTCATGAACCAGTCACTACTGAAAGTCCATATTCCCTTCTTTACAGCTGAGAGTGCTTCCTCCATGTCCTCTTCACACGCCACAAAGATGGTTTTCGATGTTTCATGCACTTTGTCCAGTCCACAAATAACCTGAATTTGCGAAACACAAACTTAGTACTGCTAACTAGCCATATTGCAACAGAGGATTAGCTTATGAATTAAAAAGCTAGAACATAGGATTAGAACGATTATTACGAGCCAATTTTAGAGGAAAGATTCTACTTGCAAAAAACCATCAGTTGGCTTTCCTTAGTTTAGTGACCAAAAACAATCTTGGTACCTTTTTAATTACTTTCTTCACATAAATGTATTTAACACTGCATAAGAAGAATGTAAAGTAGCTACACAAGGCCATTCCGGGCTACCTGTTGCATTTCTATAGCAGGCAGAATTGATAATCGGATCTCATTAGGACTCGACTTACATTTCCACCAGCAGACTTGGCAATGGCTGATAGAGTACTGACTGGGGGGTGGACGTGAGCAGCAAGACATATGTCATAACCTTTAAACAGTGCTTGACAATGATAAAATGTTTTACGAATAACATCTTTTAGTTCTGTCCTGTACTTCAACTCATATTCTTTATCTTCCAAAATATAAGGTGCTTCAGCTGTAAAAGAATATAAGAAACCAAAAAAAATTACAGATGAAGAATTTTAGGTAAACATGACATAATATCAGATTCTTAGGCTTTCGGACTCACCCACAAATCTGCGTTTCCGGAAGCTTTCTTTTAACCACTTGGGTGAGATTATCCAAGCTCTGCATAAGAGGTAGACTTAAAGAGATAAGTAACAGAAGCCAAATGCATGCACCATTGGATCATGCAGATTAGAAAGTAAACAGAGATACAGTAACAGACCAGATAGTAATATGTTTGTACCTGAAACTTACATAACCAATCATGTGGAGATCTTGTTTAAATATCATGTGTTGTCTCCAATTCTGTATCTAAAGTTAATACTCATCCATCCCAACATATATAAAACATTGTCATGTTTACAATTAAGAATCTAAATCTGACTTCGAAATCTGATTTGATTTCCGAGAAAATAATTAGAGCTGGCCAAACCATCGCCCAGCTCAAGCACCACTCTGTTTGCTTTAGGCTAATATTGCTGAGTCAGATTAACAAAAAAGGATAATAGGTATTACAGTGTAGCAGCCTAGCAGGCATCAAATCAGATTGACATCACCAGCTATAACACTTCATAATACTGATTAATTTTCTTTTTCCCAAAAATAGATGATTTGGTACTAATGAACATGTAATCAAAGGCTCAGAATGCCCACTAAACATTTTAGTAAGAAACCTGTACTGAGTGGAAAGTGGGGAAATACTGACCCAGAACAGAGAGCAGTGCAGAAATTCAAAGTAATTCTGACTTTCCCGGTGACTACATGTGTGCTTAGACTTCCATCACAAGTGACAGCCCCACCTAGATCTTCAATTATCTACATCAACAGCACTACTGGTCAATAAACCTTAATTTTTGAAGGCAAAGAAGAATATAATAATTACTATATGATAAATACATTTTCGCCACAAGGTGAAAATAGGACAGGGAAACCACCAAAATTAGTATATAAAAACCATAAACAAAACTGACAGATAAACAGGTAATCTAAAACCACATTCTGTTTGAATGCATAATGTGTCATGCTATTAATCTTAAAGCAGATTCCCAGTTTATAAACATCACATCAAAAGTAACATGCTATTTACATCAAACAACGGATTGTTTCCTCATTCATTCATGAGGATCAATAGGTTAAAGTGAAGCATGAGTGACATAAGGTTTACATCAGTGGACAGATGACTTCCATTATGGTGCCATCTGATGGCTGACCTGCCTGGAATGGCACATACACATTCGATTTAATAATATGGAATGAGAATGTAAGAATTCAACATATGAAGGCTAAATTGAAAGAGACAGCATGTCTATATGGTATAAAATTGAGGAACACTCAATTGAACTGATCTACCACCCATAAACACGAGCTGAGATGAAGTTTTCTTCCTATAACCATAAGCAAACCTCTGCTTAAGTGGCATTTGCTCCAGCACATACAGCCAAGTCAATTTGTGGGGGCAGGAATCGGCAAGTTTCAAATGTGATACAAGAGATGCTAATAATAGAAAGACTTGTATAGCTTATACGCTTCTGCTTTTTGTTCCCTTCACTATTCCTTGGACTGCACTTCTATCCTGGCAAACCTACCTAAAAACTACTATTTTCAATGCTAAAAGTTCGCATTCAAAAAGCTGAACATCCCCTTCCACACAATTCAACCCATGCCACAAAATCATCCCCAGGACCTTTTCTTCCGCTCTCCACCCCAAGTTTTGGCAAAAAGCTTGAAGAAGAGTCGCATGACACTTGCCCTACATCATTCAGTCACCAAGCTTCCACATTTATTCAAAGAAGAAATCAAAATGTAAATGTGTTTCCAGTAATCTCAAAAATGATATATCCAAACAAAACAAAAATTTATGAGCCAGGATTTAGAGAAGCAAAACAGTCTACTCTTCATTGAGAGTGATGTATTATGTCAAACCATTAACCCCAGACCCAGGGACATCAGTTCATGGTCTAAATTGAAAAAATAAAGTACAAAACTGAGCATACCTTCGTGAGATTTGAGAGATATATTATGTTATATTATGTCAAACCATTAACCCCAGACCCAGGGACATCAGTTCATGATCTAAATTGAAAAAAGAAAGTACAAAACTGAGCATACCTTGGTGAGATTTGATTTTTTAGCATTATCAGCAATATTCATCAGCATAACTCTATAGTAATCTTTGTGTAACAGAAGTTCCGTCCTGGCATGATCTTCTGACGTGATATCAACAGCTTTATGTTTTTCGGCATTCTTTTCCAAATAAGTAATCGATAAGGGATCTCTAGGAGTAATGTCCATCAAAGATTTGTTTCTGGCTAAGAAGCTTCCATCAAAACTACAGTCATTTCTTCCATCACTCACTGAAAGAGAATTCCTCATGTCTAATTGGCAATCAATCAGATGACATCCCTTAACTTTTTTCGACTTCAACGAAGTATAAGAGGCTTCCCAAACCCTCTTCTTTGTACCAAGTGCAGAAGAAGAACACTGCTTTACGTCATCTTCAGCTCCAGCTATGCTTAATTCTAAGTTGTTAGCCCAATTGCTGCAACCGCAACCCTCTAAAGGAACCAGTACTTGGCAACCTAGAAGTGAAACCAACCTTGACATGAAGCCATTGGAAGCAGCCAAACTTGGAATAATTGCACCATAGCAACACAATTGGATTTTACTAAAGACAAATTTCATGAAAATGCTTGTACCACATTGGAAAAGCATCTAGCCAGTTTACATATGAAACGGGTTCATTATAAGAGATTGACAGGATCAATTGAGGGGAATGCAGTCA